AAGGAGCAGCTAATCTCCTCTCAGGTTTAGGATTCCTTGGCCAGGCTCTTTGAGGAGAAGGAAGCGGAGGGAGGGTAAACAGCAGGGCTCTCACTGAAGGGATTAGTGGGTCCATATATCATCGTGACAAGCCTTTTCAGCGAGTGACAGGTCACCGAGGCCCAGCGCAACAGGGATCCGGTGACACTTCCTGTCACTGTTGGAAACATTGATAGGGTCAAAATCGTCTTACTCACACCATCCAATCGTCTTAATAACAGATTTCAGACTTTGATGTTAAGTGTGTGTTTGTAGTCAGTACAATTTCATAAGATTTCCATGAAAACTGAGGTGCACACTTTAACGGTAAAATAAAACAATACAAGCTTGACACTCTTAAAAACAAATGGTTCTTTGGAGTGATGTCACAGGAAAACCACTTCTGGTTCCCAAAAAGCCAGAGTACGCCAACCAGACAAACACAAACAAACAGAAACTTTGGCTGGTGTGCCATACTCCTGTTAGATTGTTTAAAGGTGCTAGAATGTTTTACTTGGTAGCTCTTCGGCTGAACAAGACAACTGCCAACTTCAGAATGTTCGTGTTTGTTTGTGTTTGCCCCATCGAAGTACTCTGGCCTTAAAGAACCTCTCAATGGGCGGATCATTAAAGGGGAATTCTCTAATTTTCAGAAAATTGTGTGGTTTGATATAAAATGTGCCATTCTAGTGAAACGTACAGAGTCAGAACTGGGAACCAGCCGTTTTAGGAGTTTAATGCCTCTGAAAGCAACTCCACTGAAACTATTATAGCAAATGGTTATGAATATGCTGTCTGAGACATTATTTTTACAATCAATTTTTGATTATGTTTTGGACTAAAAAATTTTAATACATCCAGGGTGGAGAGGTACAATTAATATTTTTTTTGTATTTACCACTATTTTACCATTATTAACAATAAATATGAAAACTTAACAGACATGTAGGATCACTCCTTGTTTTGGATAGTGAATAAAATGGCTATATCTGCACAAGACTCTGGTTCCTATCTCCACTTTTGTAATACAGTTTCTCTTGAATGCACCATGAGCCAAGGGCCCCATGAAAGTACAAATTAGATATTGTACGTGTTGATGTTAAATAACTTATTCCTAAACATAAGTACACATTTTAAAAACAGCTGTTTTTTGCCATTTTGTTATCATTTTTAGTGATTTCAGTGCAGCCCCACCCCCGGTCGTGATGACACAACTGACAGACTGGTATGAACAAGGCATTTAAGTGATAATCTACATTATGAAGAGGAGGTTCTTCCTTGTAATTTCTGGGTGTTGAGAAGGAAAATCAAATAAAGCCATACAAGTTCAGCAGAGAAATGCAAAATCTAAACTCCCAACTAACTCAAAAACTAAAACATTACAAGTTACTAAGAACTTCTCTCAACATGTAATAGGATTATGTTACTTTTTACTTCCTGGAAGAAGTATTCTCATTACTCATTTCATTATTTCTGGATTACTTTGTACCACATGATCTCATTATACTGGCAGATAATTCTGTTTATTTCATACATTACTCCTTAAAACAAGCAACATTATCTGCTATAGAGTGAGGTCCATCCAGGGGGCCCCATTCCTGTCTTTTACCTGCAGCCCCACAATCATCCGCCTCTGTGCACCACTTCACATCAAAACTCTGTGAATGATTTTGTTTACATTTTAACCATTACAAGCCCAACTCCAAAAAAGTTTAGACAGTATGTGAAATGATAATTAAAAAAAAGTAATGATTAGTAAAATAGGTTCTGTTTGACCTATTTTAACTGAAAATGATACAAACACAATATTTTATGTTTTACCTTTATTGATTTTTAGTAAATTTCATTCCAAATTTACTGCTTGCAACAGGTTCCAAAAAGTTGGGACAGGAGCATGTGTACCAATGTGTTACATCATCTTTCCTTCCATAAGACTTAATAACTGTTTGGAGACTGAAGACAAACTGGTTCAGTTTTAAAAACATGTTTTGCCAATCTTCTGTTATATAAGTCTCTAGCTGTGTAAGCGAACAGAGCCTTTGTTTTCATATTTTGAGCTTAATAATGTGCCACACGTTTTCAATGGGAGACAGGCAGGTAAATCCAGCACCCACACTCTCGCTATTGTAACACATGCAGAATGTTTTTTTGGCGTTGTCATGCTAAGGTTTTTAGTTAACATAATTTGAAAATGCCTGTTGCTCTTTACATTGTGTAAATTTCATGAAGAATGGACCAAAGGAAATGGCCCAAAATGACTTGGAAAAATGTCTGGTTCCATTGACTTAAAAGTAAAAAAAAGTAAAGTAGGTTTTTTCCTTCTCCTGTAAAGTCATCATTTTGGAGATACAAGGTTTTCTTCTGACAACAGCGATATGTTGCTTTAAAATAGGTTCAGTATTATTGGTGCTTTCACAGATGTCTAAGTTACTCACTAATACTCCCCATACCATGACAGATGCAGTCGTTTGAACTTTACGCTGGTAACAATCTGGATGGTCTTTTTCTTCTTGGCCCAGAGATCACAGCATCCATTATTTCCATAAAAGATCTGAAGAAACTGACTCGTCAAACTACAATACATGTTTTATTGCGTATCAGTCTATTTCAGATGAGTTTGAGTCCAGAAAAGTCGGCAATGCTTCTGTATGCTGTTGACATATGATTTCCACTGTGCAAAATACAGTCTTAACTTGCATTTGTAGATGCAATAATGAATGGAATTTTATTGACAACTGTTTGTCAAAAGTATTCCTGAGCCCATGTGGTAATATCCATCACAGAAGCAAGCCAGTTTTTTGCAGTGCTGTCTGAGCGTTTGAAGGGCATGGCCATTCAGTGATTTTTGTCCTTGCTCTTTACACACAGAGATTTCTCTGGATTCCCTGAATCTTTTGATGTTATTATGCATTGCACAGGGTGAAATTCCTAAAATCTCTGTAATCCCTCACTGGGGAACCTTATTCTGAAGTGGTTCGATTTTTTGCTGATGCATTTTTGTCGAAAGTGGGGGACACTGACACATCCTTGCTCACAGAAGACTAGACATTTCCTTAATGCTCTTTTTATTCCCAAGCATGATTGCATCACCTGTTAGAGAGGTTTTAAACTGTTTTTAATTGGCCCTGTCCAAACTTTTTTGGAACATACTGTAGGCAACAATTTCATAATGAGAGCATATTCACAAAAAACAATGAAGTTGACAAGGTAAAACATTAATAATCACATCTTTGTACTGTTTTCATTCAAATACAGGTCAAAGTGAATTTACAAATTATAGCTTTCTGTTTTTATTAGCATTTTACCTGCTGTCCCAACGTTTTTAGAATTGGGTTAATAAATCATACAGAAAGTTTGAAAAGGTAGAATTCACCTTTAAAGAATCATTTCTGTTAATAAGATATGCAAATGCGAAGTCTTAAAGAATCTTCACAGAAAGCAATGGTTCTATGCTGATAATAGATTTTTCCAAGAACTGTGGTCCAAGCCAAAAAAAAAAAAACATTTAGGACCCCATATTGTACATGGAGGGGCCAAACAAGACTTAATATGGCGTTTCCTACCATACAATGATCACTGATTATAGATGAAGGCCAGGAGGGTGGCAGGACAAGTTGAATTCAATTATAAATCTTGAGCAAAATCTGTTATGAGACCTTCCCTCACAGCACAATGAGGTCCCTTTAGGTTTAGCAGAAAGAGACCCACTGAAGTGCTGAGTGAATCTGTCAAATTATATACAACTCGCCGAGCAGAATTTGTTGAAAAAGCAGTGGGATAATGAAATACATCAGCAGCTAGAGGCAATAGCAAACATATCTTGGCCTTGAAGGAAATAGGGACATGACAGAAGCTTCATTTTACTAATAGGAAACGGTGAAAAACAAGGAAGTCCCAGATTAAAAAAGCAAGATGTTTTAATAAGACATTTGAAACTGTATTTACAATAAAATGTTTACTGATCTTTATCAAATACCAGTGTTTTTAAAACAACAATCCTTCTACAGGACTGGAGAACTCACCATGTAAACATTTGGCTTAAAAGCTGTCTTTTAACGGTTCCACTGAAACATTCTTCAACTGTCTTGCTGCCTGCCATTTCATAACCTCTATGCTTGTCATAATCATTTCAGAGCACAGTTTACAACAGTGAGTCACAGCAACAACACTCAGTGCACTGCTTCACAAATAAATGTGGTGTATAATAATACATCCAGGATAAAGACTCATGGCCTCCAAATTATGAAACCGTAAATTAAATACGGACCTAGCTGGACATGAGGTCGGAGCTCACAAAAGTGTCTTGGCAGTTCTTTTGAAAAATATGAATAAGAAGCATCTGGGAGGAATTATACTCATTATCGCTGGGTCCACAAGAATGATTTATACACTTTCGCTATCTCATAATGATAAGCATTTTATCATGCTGAACACACATCATCTCCGTCCACTCCCTTGCCTAAAAGAGATTGCAGCTGGAAGAGCCGAATTACAATATCGCTTCAGATGACACGACCCTGAACTCTGGAATGCTCTGTATCGTGAAGAAGGGTCATGCTACAAGGAGGCGAATCAAACTCACATGTGGAAGGGGAACCTCTCGGGCCTCCGGATGACGAATGTAGGGTGCAGCGTTTTTAATTACACAATGCTTTGACGTCAGTGTAAGACACATGCAGCAGAATGGCTTACTAATTGGGAAACCATATAAGCTCTGTGGTTCATAGACTTACATTCTGGCCGACTCGGGCTCTGTCAAAAGACACCTAGGTAATCTCCAACAGCTCCCAGCTGTTTTGTGATATGAACATTCCCATGCATAACAGCACGGCCATTTAATCTTTAAAAGTACTGCTAAAAGTCCAGCAATGTAAGAACATTCGGATCATTTCTCATGTTTTGAGTGCTTTAATATGTAAGTGTAGTATAAATAATTCAACTCGTGATCATTTACATTTAATTAATAACATCTGGAGACCTACCTTTGAGTGAATAACCTCAATACCGTAGAGTAACACATTCCTCTGTTTGGCTTTCGTGGAGAGGTCCATGATGGAACTCAGCTCATCAGGCTTTTGTCTAAGGGATGGCTCTTCTGACATGTATAAATGAACCTATCAACATACAAAAGAGAAGCATAAAACATCTCTCAACAAAAGAGACCACCACGCCATAAATACTCATACGTGGAATAATAAACACAAAGCCTGCATTGTTAAAAAGACATTTAGTATCTGGTAATTCAACAAGACAGTTAGTTCCAGGTGTTGGGCGTGAAAAGATGCATGTTAGCACGTATTTCCACTGACACAAAATTCAAATTAGCTGCTGCTGTGTCTAGAACATAATCCATCTTGCAGTATTCTCTGTTTATTCAGAAACTTGGTGCTTGTGTAAACGGCAAAAAAAACTTCAAAGTAGGCAATTAAGAACACTGGAGTTTTCACTGCAACTCCATTTTGAACAAAATGCACGATGTTGACATAGGCTGACTATGAGCACACTGTGAAATAACTACCATTTCATTTTCCATGAGTTCAGAGCACATTCCTCAGAAAGCTCATGTTGTACTGAGAAATGATGAAAGATGACACATTATAACAAAAGTTGACAAACAACAAATTAAACCTGAATCTTATGAACGGAAAAACTTCAAATGACACAAAAGTATTATTAAGTGTGTTCTTGCCATTACCATGAAACTAACCGCTAAGGCCCATGCAATGGAAAACAGAAGTTTCTCATTTTTTTATTAAAAAATTAAAAGAGTCTGATGTACTTTGTAAACAGATACTATCCACATATGAAAACTAAGATGCAAAAACATCCTGTTTGTTTTTGTGATGTGATGAAAACCAATACATTTACAAATGTATCTGCCTATTTAGCCTACTGCAGTTTAGCCCCGCCCATTCAAGCTGAAGCTGTACGTTTCAGTCCAGATGGGCTTTATAAATGGGATACAATGCAGGGCAGTCAATCAGAACAGAGCTAATTTACACACATCAGTCTTAAAGGCACAGTAACATATGCATTCTGCTTAACTCAAAGAGATGACGAGAGTTTGGAAAATGTTCAAGTAAAAATGACTGTTTTTTGTACATAAAAAACATTTAAATGTCCTAAGTGGACATCAGGGAAAAAAATAAAATACAAGAAAAAAGTAAGATATGAGCTCTTTAAGCAACGTGACTTTGCAAAGAAAGCTTGTTTAACATGCCTTACCATAAAGTGGAATGCAATAATCGGCAAGCACTAGCTGGAGGATTAAAGATATATTACCTTAAAAGGTACAGGTAACTTTGCGTTATAACCAAAAACAGAATTGTAATATAGGTATGGACCTTATCTTAAGCATACGGGTTTCATGTGATGATAACTAGGTGCCATCATAGTGAAAGAAAACGATGGGCTCACCTCCACCTGGTGTTTTAGATAAAGCTATAATGGGAATGCAGACACTTCCTTTCTGAAGCACTGGCTGCACTGGCGCTGAGCCTTATGATCACAAGCAAAGGAGTGTTGTGTTTTCAAAATATGTTTGAGAAGCTAGGATTCCTTTCACAAATCATGCTGAGGGTTTAATCAAGTCGCACTGGGATGACATTTCCCATGATTAAGACAGATCTGTTTTGCGGTAGACAACCTGGAAAAGGACCAACATGCAGACTGTCCAAGGTTTTTCCTACTCCTGCTGCTGCCATTTGGCTCCGAACGGGATAAAAAGTTCAGTCAGAAGTTACAATTACCTTCAGTACATGTCCATCATGGATTAGCGGTCATGCATTTTTAGTATTTTTGTTGAAGGTATAATGTAATATAAAAAGTAATTTTAAGTTGTGGAATTTCAATATAAGCATAGTTAGTCTAGTTTTAGTAAACAGCTCCAACAGTGTTTACAGGGATTTAATGGTCAATTGAGCAATACAGTTATGTGAGAGAGGTCCATACGTGATAGCTCTATCAGCAAATCCATCCATACTTTATTTACAAGAAAATATTTTGGTCTTTCTCATCCCCAAAAACCTGTATCCATACATACTCTTCTCATTCAAATGCCTTTAACAATACAAAATCTCACAGCACTGCATGCATTTTACTGGCTAGCATGCTAAGATTAAGATAAGCAAAAGAAACAGTTATATACAGTACAACGCAAAAGTCAGAGACTCTTTATTTTTTTAACTTCCAGTCAAAACGGCCATTGAGTATAAGTTATCCATTTTTCTGCATCAAGAAAAAAGCTGAAAACATGTAATTTTCTGTTAAACACAGCAAATTAACAAACATTTCAGTTTGTCCACCCAAAATCTTGCTCTCAGTTTTTTTTTCTTTATTACTCACTCCTTCCTTATGATTATATTATATGTAATCTCCTCAGAAATATCTTCTTAAAAATATAAGAAGAATATGTATTTAATAGTAGGTCTTATCGTGATAAACTACATCACAATATGCCACATATGCTTTTCCATGCTTTTGATTTTTGCACAGTACTGTATAAAATCAAATACATAAATGACAACAAACTGTTTAAACCCTGTTTAAACAGATTAATTAAATTAATTTATTGTGTTTAGTAATTATTGGCACAGACAAAGCCAACATGACAAATATACACCTACCCATATAATTACCACTGGATACAAAAGGGCATGGTTCATCTCCTCCAAAACCTTGACCATTTCTGCGATTTCAGATAAACTTTCCCTGCTAGCCTATAAATAGAGCACATCACAATAAAACATATGTGTCTGACAACAGGCTTCGCTCTTAGTTGCAACATTAATTCAGAAGTCTAATGACTAACGATTTTTTTTCAGCTAACACAATAACCTGTGTGCAGTCTTTATAAACTTTGCATATAGTACAAAGTGTAATATACATACAGATATCTGGATGAAGTTCCTGGTCTTTGACAGCAACTCATTATTTCCCTTTACAAATGGATGGAGATCCAATGTCTGCAAAACACAAAACAATAAGTATTCAGTAACCAAAAGACAGTCATGTAATGTTAAATTGACAATAACTCAGTTCCTAATAGGCAATTATCAGTCTTCAATTGTAAATCACATTGTTAAATGCGACTCAAAAGAGTATTTTAAAATGTATGCTCTTTGCCTATGAACACATGCTCAGCATATGAATCATGAATACAATCTTTCTTACACTTTACTTCAACATAAACAAAATATTACTCAGTACCTTGTCTGAATCTAATCGAATCAAACCTCTCACACAGAGATAAAATAAACAGAAATAAACAAGTGTGATCTGTGATTGGCACAAACTTGACCAACATCAATGGTGAAAGAACAGAATAAACAGGAAATATGAAACAGTTACAGGAAACACATGTGGGTACTTTAATGTTTCTGAAAGGTAACCAACCATGGTTTCAAATAAAACAAAAACATTGAAACCTGGAGTGTAGCACTGTGAGAATAAATGTCTCGAGCTGATCTAAACAGGGTTGGGTATGAAATGTCTTAATTATGGACTGAACATGAGCTGTTACAGCTTTTATCATAAAATACTAAGTGAATGGACATAAGGCCTGCTGTTTGCCCTCAATAAATGACACTACCATCAGAAACACTGGTAACAATTACAGGGCTGCTTAATACATCCGTTTTATATCCACTCAATCAACTATACAAACAATGGAATATAAAACTCTAGAGAGGCTTTTTAGACAAATACTCCTCTCGAATGTCCCAGAAAAAGTCATATTTTTGATTACGAATAGATGATCTATAACGATAGTTTTACGTGGGATTATCACAACTGATCTTTCCAAGCTCAACCCACAAATGTGTGGGTCCACTTCCGAGCTGTGTTGGTGTAGGTAACTGAAACTAAGCAGACTGGAAACCACAACGATGAATTTGTCAGTATGCTAGCTCGTCTCCATACGCTTCAAACAAGCTAAGTCTTAATGGAGAAACTTACCAGGCTAACTTACCATTTTCCTCGTGGTGGTAAAAAAAAAAAGAAACAGTGCTCACTCTATTTGAACAATTAACACATTAAACTATTAAAACAAGCACAAGGCTTAGACGGGAACTTTTTTCCGCCCCAGCTTCATATCAACACTGTCCAAAAAAGCAGTGCCTCAATTTTTTTTTATTTTTCTACATCATTTGAGTACACCAGCTGCTCTTCACATTGTGTGACAATATCATGTTGAATGGACAACAAAAATGCTCCAAAACTGCCTGAAATAAAATCTCCTTACATTAACTTACATTAAAAGTAAAGAAGATTTTTGTCTTCTCCTATGAAGTTGCACCTTTTTCAGGCAGAACACAAATTTGATTAAGAAGCCAACTTCAGGTTTGTACATTAAAGTTTTTGCAAGATTTTGGTTTCTATTGTTCGTCTGATGAAAAAAATTGCTGCTTATTTCTGCTCCGTCTTCCATCAACGCTGATTTAAGATAAACTATAAATAAAATATAAACTTTCGCTTTGCTCTAATGTATATTCAACATAAAAGTGTGAACATTTCATATACATAACAAATAAAAATCATATGACATTAGTAACATAGTATTTTCACAAAAAATGACTTGTGCACTCCAATTTCTCATTAGGTTGATGGGATTTTTGCCAATGTTCTATAAAGCTTGTCCAACCCAGTAACAGTCACTATGAGTAAAAGTATTTGTGGGTGGAGCATGGATACATCAATTGGATTTAGTCCACTGGGTTAGAATGTAGAGAATCTTCATTTGCCCTGAATCATTACATGAAATGTCAAAAACAGTCCCTTTCAACGGCTACTGTGCATTTCTCTAGATGCAGTTTCACATTATCAGATCTTGCTAAAAGGACTGCCGTTATCTCTTCCCTTAGCTCAGCTCTCTGTGGCAAAAAACAATACATACCCAGAGCCAACTACACCACCTGCACTTGTGGAACTGGTTTGTATCATGGATGTCCTGTATCAGCGAGAGTATGACCACTAATGTGGATTGGATTTGCACATGGCTTTGGTTACAAACTTAGCCCCTCATCTACCATTTCTTCCTTTTCTTTCATCTCCCTGGAGTCCTGCAGGGCTGCATCAGGTCACATGTAAGCACACAAGGAGGATAACACGCAAACTGCCACCTGAATGACACCTCACTTCTGGGGACAATCAGTCACAACAGGTGAAGACGGACTTGTGGTGTCTCCAAGCTCGCAATACTACTAAAAAGAGGACATGCACTTGGCACTGTATGATTTAGAACTTGGCACAGCTACAAAGGAGGATGGACTTTCAGCATGTAGGACCATGCTGAGGCACGTCATATTGCCCTTTGTCAATGCCTGCCTTCAAAGGATGGATCTTCTGAGACGTCCAGGGTAACCACAGCCAGGACCACAGTGTGGGGACCTGAGATGAGTTGGGCCGGCTCCAGGATTAAAAGGAAACAAATGGCAGGGCGGTCACAGTTTTGCAGGTCGTCATATCCATTTCAGCATTACGTCTGCAAGCACTGCCACAGCGACTCCCCATCTGCAACTCTTCATGCGGTGCAGGTGAGAGCATGGGGATAAGAAGAGAGTTTGTGGCATGTGTGTATTTTTTGAGGGGGGAGGGGGGGATCCCAAGCTTACCCAAGTAGACATTCAGCTCGGAACGTCTGACACACCAAGCCCACCCAAGCAGAGACTATTTTTTGCTAAGCAGAGAGGTGAAGTTGTGCCGATTCCAAAAGACATTACGGCAATAATCATCATCTCATGACTTATTATGAAAATCATTCTCATTACCTACCATGCTGTGAGCTGCCAAGTCTTTCTGGAGCTTGCTGGCCAGCTCAATGGTCTCTGCCATGGTTCCTGAGATGAGGCATGCTGACAACGAGAGAGTCTCTGGAAATAGATAATAAAGAACAGAAGAGTCTTTCACTCAACACACCTGCGAATGAATTTTGGACAAAAAAACATGTGATTTAATGTTTTAGCAAAGCAGTTTGTTGATTTTAGAAGGTGAATCACTAAACCCTTCACTTATTTTACACCTCATTACTTCACTCAGAAATGTACACCAAGTAACTGCATCAATAGTTGCAATGAAGAAATATTCTTCACAGGCTGCAAATAAAGAATAAACAAGAATATAAAGTAAATTTCTGGAAGGTTTTTAAAACTCAACAACACTTCATATTGAAGAGTCAGAATTTAATCTGTTGATGATCAGATAAATAATTAACAGGACTGTTTCAACCAAATCTTTTGCTTACCATAACTATAGATGCACTGCTTCACTCCAAAAAGATTAAATGCAGACAAAGATCCAACATCATAAAGGCTGACCTGAGAAAGCCATTAACCGTGAGCTTAAGCTGAGCACTCCATGGATGGGGTCTTAAAAGAATTTGTTGTTTTTCCACTCTAAACTTAGTTTGGCATTATGTTACAGGGCTGCCCTCCAAGCACAGAGTAATACCCAGGCAGAACAGCCAGGAGAGCAACTGACAGAATGGAAATTTTCCTTAATGCATCAATCCACACAATCACATAAATATGCACACACAATTAAACCATCATATAACAGTGATAAAAAACACAGCGCCTCATAATCTTGGGCCTAACAAAGGTACTGCTGAGATTTTCCAGTAAAATATCACCGACTTCCTGAAGAATAAGCACACGAGGTGCATTTACAATTCCTTTTGAAAAAGTCATTTATCACAGCAGTTCCAATACTGATTTGGACTGAACAGAATCAAGTGGGCTGTTTGTAGGGACCATCGTTGTTTATCTATCAATTTTTCACAAAAAGTCTACCCTTCATTTAATTTCCAGTCAAAACAGCCATTCAGTTAAAGTTACTCATTTTTCACCATCAGGGAAAAAAGTGGTAAACTTGCATTTTAAAGAAAATTAAAAATTAAATATAATATTACAATTTTCAGTATTTAGTGTGTTCACGCTTTGCATTTATTACAGCTTCCTTTCTCTTCAAGAGATTTGCTTTCAGAAATCTTCTGGGATTTTTTTTTACACCTCCAAAGTTCTTAGTCTTAGAACTTGATTGCATTTTCTGCTTCTCACAATCCAAGTTATCAACACATTTAGTGATGTTAAGGTCAGGACTCTGGGGTGGTCAGTCCATTGCTCAGAAAACACCAGCAGCTTTTTTGTTAGCTTTGCAAATTTTCTTCTTTTTCTTTTCTTTAGTCCATTCCCTTTTCTTGGTAGCAGATCCACAGCCTTGAGTTCTCTTCTCACAGTTGAAAGATGGATGCAGATAACTGTGGAAGAGCAGAGCCTGATCTTCTCCCATCTCTCAAGAAAAAAAGCTTGTATTCAGTTTTGGTAGTCTATCAGGTCTTGCATGGCTGTTGGAAGTCCCATTTTCTCTATATCTTTTAATCATTTTTTTGAACTCCACTTTTGGAAACTACCGTTGTTTCACTTATTTCCTTTTGACATTACCCTTCCTTATGAGAGTGGATTATTTTATCTAATCTCCTCATAATGTATCATAAAAAATTAATAAAGAACTTAATGGTTATTTTGCGTGGAAATTAAATAAATGAAGGGTGGTCTCTGTCTTTTGCACAGTACTGTTGGTGTATTGTATGCTCTATGTAGTTTTTCTTTTAATGTAACGCTATGCCTGAATCATCATTTGTCATTGTCTGCTTGCTACAAAGTTTAACAATACTTACTGCCAGTGTGTTTTTAAAACTAAATTTTAATCCCAAATTGTACTTTAAGCACCTTAAAAAAATTGTAATGTAATTCAAAAAGAAATACCTTTGATAACACACTCTGCTGCAGCCAAATCTCGTTTATATGTCACCTATACAGGAGCAACAGAAGCAAAACAAACAAAAGAATTTAAAATTATAAATGTCCACTTAATGCTCATAACAATTCTGTAAATAAGAAAAGATTACTTTAAATCCATGGAGATTCAGTAAAGTGAAAGCATCATCTCTTACTTTCCACAGTGTCGGTGGTCCCTCAATGAGCTTGGCATTGGTGCCGCTGTACTGCAGGGCCAAGTGCAGGCATTCCGTGCCAAACTCAAAGTCAAACTCGCTACACTGTGGAGAGAAATCAAGACATAACAGAAACAAGCACAGTCCCATTTGTGCATGTTTAGTAAATACTGAAGTGGGCCTATTTACTTATTTACTGTGGACAGCCAAAGAGGACCACAAGAGGAGGAAGGTAAATATGCACACAGATTGAATGTCCATTCAAAATGAAATTGGAAACTAGACAGGATAAACCCATTCACCCAGAGGTCTTTTTATTCCATTTACCATGTTAGTTTTTAAACCATTCAGTGTCAATCATTTGGTTTTCCCTTATTGCCATTTGAGTCACTGTCTTTTTTCCTCCCCAAAAGGAATCTTAGGACACCAGTAAATGCTCTAAATCTGAACTGTTAGCTCACAGCTCTGAGACAGCACTTATATTACAGGGTTTAAATCATGCCACCTGAGATATCATGAAGGCAATATGCACGGCCATATTTTATCTCCAGCATAAGAGCGAGGTTCCTTCACAGGGATCACTGATTTCAAGGCAAATTAGTGGAAAAAAACATTCTGGGTCCTGCAGTCATTTAACCTTTGGCATTTTTGCTTTCACTAAAGTATACCACACCGGGGGTTGGGTGTCTATTTTTCCTCTACCGCAGCTCCATCAGCCTCAAAGGATGTCACACTGTGAATACATCACTCAAACAGAAAGCACCTCAGCAAAAGCTCCGACACATGGCCTTTGGCCACAATGGAACAGTCTGTTGAAGGCTCTTTTTGAAATTTAAAGAGAAACCGCAATAACCTACAACCTCGAAGTCGCAAATGCAGCTAAAATGAAGTAGAAATGATGTCTGAACTACCTCATGTCATTTGCTGGAAGATCTACAGCTTCTGGATTGAAAAGCAGTGAGCTATATATTCACTCTTAAAAGGATTTCACTGCAGAAGATGAATGAAAAAAGGCCCAGCAGTGCTAAAGTGTCAGAGTGTCGGATATCACCCGAGTGCATGCCTCGACAGACAGAGCTAGCCATCTGACAACGCCTCTATGCTAGGGCAGTTATCTGCAGACTTTCATTCTCATTTAAAATGCAATATGACAATCATGGCTTACCAAGAAGACTCTTAATGTTCTACCACAGAGCCAAAGACAATACATCGTGCAGTAAATGCATATGCTCAATGTGCCAGCGATGAAAAAAGGCTGAAAGTCTAGCTCATATCCGCCTGTTTTCCTTTTCTTGTTTAAATACTCTAACCTGAGAACACATGATGTCATGGTTCAAGTCCTTGAGCACAAAAATCTAGATAATTTAGCACCAAAGTGAGTGCAGGAAATGATGCATGAACTTTTAATACTGGTAAAAATATAAAATATATCTACAGAAAAAGGCCTTTTAGTTTTGGTTTTCTATACCTATTGTGCAGTTTCCTTCTCCTTCTTAGGTGTACTATCAAATATATGCAAAGATAAGTGAGCTTAAGCACAAAAACAACCAGGACTAATGTTTTTTGAGAATGAGCTGACTGAAAAAAATTTCACAGATTTTGAGAGATTTTATGCCAGAGAAATATGGTCCAAAATCAATAGCTAGGTTTCCATCAAGACTTACCTGAAACAGCTAATGTTGAAAGGAATTAGTAAAGAAATTGCAAAAAAATCTGTATGTTTACTTGATGCTACACGCCTGGATAAAAATAAACATCTTATTTAGACTACATAAACATTTTATTTAGATACTACAATTGTTCCTAACTCTAAAGGAATGGTAAGGCAAAAAATCTAGGTTACACCATTTTCCACTTACCCCACATGTAGTCAAACAGTCCAGAAATGTTAAGAGTCCAAATTTTGCTTATTTATTTTAGAACTGGAGCGGCAATGCCAATTGCAAGCAAACACTAGAACAATGTTATGTTGTTAACAATTAGAGGGTGTGCAGATAATCTACACGGGGCTACAGAAAGTTGGTAAATTATGATTATGAAACACAACTGCAGAATAAATAATGAAGTCACATGGCTGCTCACATTTTTCCCCCACCCCATAACAAAAGGCAGCAGTGTATCAGTTTACTGACAAAGAAATTAAAATGTACTTCATCAAAGAAAAATGTAACTCTGATTAGACAATAAACAGACCTAAAACGCCTGCAGCTGATTATCAGACATGTCCAGGGCCATTACATTTGCCTATGGGTGATATACAGGCATAAAATTAAACTAGAGAGCAACAAGAAGTCGTTTGACATTAAGGATTTATCTGTAAACATGGTCTTTACTTTTCAGAAGTGTTTTTATGAACGTGGTACAAAGGGTTCATTCTCTTGTACAGAGGTGATGGAAATGCAGGCTAATTTGCATACTGTTTGTGACATTTCAGATATTTGGATTTAATTCTAGAGCTGGATGGAAACCTGACTATTGAACACACAATTTCACCAGCAAAGGAGCCTGCAAGTTCCAGTAATCTTCAGCAACTGTGAACAAAAGCAACATGCTAGTCCAAGAGAACATTACTGAAGGCCCTTTTATACAGAGAGCTGTTAATGATTCTCAATCTAAAGACATACATTATAGTTTAAAGATGATGAAAACAGTACTGAAAAGGAATGTTAGCAGGTAAATCAAGAGATCCTTAAAAACATCTGCCACATGGGTATGGTGACAGCAGGTCATTAATGATGGGGTGTGCAGATGCAGTACACATTTCATGGAACATTAATGACAGATACACTTTCCTTACCCGTTGGTAGGCCTGATAGATGATGTCATAGAGAAAGCCCTGAGGCATTTCACTGGCTCTGTATTTCGTTCTCTCCAGAGAATGGTCCAAGTAGCCTTCTGAGGTAGTGGCAATCACCGTAGACACCAGAGGACGGATGGCTCCTGAAGCCTGACAAAAGAGTCTACATGCTTTATTCATTCTCAGGTTCAAACAGCACAATGGAAAATTTTAACACTATTGGAGATACTTTTAAACATGGACTACAGAGGAAGTCACGGCTTCTTCCTGCACAAGAAAAAACATATTTTATTTCTGCAACTTTCTTAAAAGAGCCTGTTTTCATACCTAGTTTGTTTGCTAAAGTCTGAACCAGAGTTTGGGTTTTTGTGACATTGTATCTTTTTTTATTCGGTTTGTTTGCAGCAAAATTACACACGAATTCTTGTTCATTGGTCAGAAATTTTGCAGGAATGTAAGCTCTCTGCTACTTTTACACTTGCCACACATTCGGCAAAACTCCTACTTTGCATCAAAAAAAGAGACGTTTATCTTCTATGTGTATCATAATCAGACAATAATAACAAAACTTACTTGCTGTCTGCTCTTTTATGATTGGTTTGTCAGTTTGAATCTAACCTATAAGGTCCCTGATGCAATATGTTTCATGATCCATGTGTTAAAATTAAATATACTGTCTCGTTATTATGTTTTGGTTGTCTGACTAAATAGCAGCAGCCCCTGCGGCAAGGAGAATACGAGCACCTGTCAAACGTCTGTACAGTCAAACTATGAGAACAGTACAGTGCTGACGAAGCAGAAAACAGTGCTCTGATGTTGAATTCCCTTGTTTGGTGTGGATCATCACAAAAACATGTTCCTACCAGCAGCAAACGGAACCAGGGTTCATTTAGAAGTGAACTGAGACAAACGATTTCAGGCAGACCACAGTTCATTTGTTTGGTGCTCAACTGAAAACGGGTGGAGTGTTCACACCTGTCAAGAAAATGTTAGACAGGTTCGCACCAGGTAGATGTGAAAAAGCTACAACCCAAGACTTAACTGCACAGATTTTTCAAAGATTCTCCATAATTTAATGGAAAAAAAAAGTCAATCAGTGATTTGATGTGAAACCATTCTAAACAAACCAAAGTCAGAATTGTAAGGTTGTGATAGAAACCAGATGTCTGAAGTGTTTAATGCCTCAAAGCTTTTACATGAAATATTAAATACACTGCATCATGCCAGAAACATTGTTTTATGATAGTTTTGGGATGAGGTTTTGGACTAAAATTGTTTTTTTTGTAAATCCGTCCTGGTGGATATGTACACGCAGGACATCATAAGGCAAAAAACCCAAATAAACGTGTTTTTATATTACAGCACTAATATAAAAGCTCAGCTGATTTGTTTATTTATCATTTTGGACTTTAAATCAATGGATAGATCTGTGTTGTTCCTATCCCTTGTTAATGTTATCACCACTGCAAAGAGTTGATATGTTTCTTTACAATGCGCCATTTCACATAAAACCACTCTGAATGACTTTGTTTACATCTCTGTGAAGTTATGCAGAATTTTTGAAAAACTGATGGAAGCACAGTCCCTCCTAAACCCACTGTACAATAAACCATTCAAGAAGGATGCTGAGCTCCCTGTATTTTACTGAATGTTATTTGATTAGCATAAAGAGTGAGTAAACAGTAAGCTTTGTGTGATATATATACTGTTCAAGCTATGCAAGGTTTAATGGCTGCCTCTACAAACAGACATTCCTTTACAATCAGGAGTAACAGAGAGATAATGAAGGCCAGCTGGCAACTGGCTAAGAGACACTAAAACTGAAGTAGACAAGCCAGTACCTCGAGTTACACTCTCACAACCAGACACTAAGAGAGTCTAGTGACCTGTAATAATACTTCCCTTTTCTGGAACTGGACGGTAAACTCTTACTCACCTCATAAATTTGACACAATACCAGTGGGACTATGGCTTGTTCCAGTAAGGACCATTCAGCATAAACATTCATCCCAACAAGCTCTGTGTCAAATTCCTATTTTAGAATTGTGATAAACTATGACACAAACACCTACACAGTTTCAACATTTTTGTGGCAATGAAACAAAGCCACATAATTGTGTCCTCTGATTAAAAGCCAGCACTGAGAGATTCCACTAACAAACAGTGTGGTCACAGCCAGTTGCATGGATAGTCACGGTGTGAATGTCTCACTCAGCAACAGCACACACAAATTTGATACGTATTAAGCCTAGTATAGATTACAAAGGAGTTTCAATGAAGCATAGCCTTTAACAATGAATTTTAGCTTGCTTCATCAACAACTGAACAAACTGTATCAAAGTACTACTAAGGAAAACAAAAACAGAACAGAAATGAGTGGAACTGCTCTACTATGTATGTACCAATACCGTTCCACAGCAAATGATGTAAATGATGGGCTGTGGTAAAGTGAACTTGGCTTGAAAAGCAGAACACACTAACCCCTTGCTCTTTGGCAGCCAAGGTAATTTTGAGCAGAAAGTCTTCCTCCACAAATGGCCGCACAGCATCATGGATAATGACCACCTTTGGTCTGGGGAGTGATGACGGACCCTCCGCGCTCTCACTGAAGGCTTGCAGGCCACTGAAAATGGACCTATGTCTTGTAGCTCCCCCTTCAACCACCTTTACTTTTATGTGATGAAATCTGTGAATGATGTGGAGCATTTGGTCATGGCTCTCCTTAGCAACCACGACCACAATGGTCTCGATCCATGGAATTCTGCAGGAAGAAAACAATAAGACACAGGTAGTTTTGTCTGGTCTATAGTCAGGGTTAGTCCTAAAGCCTGGCCATCAATTGATGTGTCAGGATAACAGCAGATGATGAATGATTTCGTTTGACTCCCACATAGTCATCCAACACACATGGTTTTGGTGTTCCTTGTGAATTTATAGCCTGCTTTATAGTGGATTAGCAAACCAAAGTGCTTTATGACAGGCACTTATGGCTTCTTCTGGACCTAAAGTCAGATTCTAAAACACTTATGATCAACTAAACGAGACATAATAACACGTACACCACGGAATCTGATGTATTAATTTGGGAGACATTGACATTAGTAGCTTCTTTAAAAAAAAAAAAATTTCATCCAGATTCATAACCTACATGAGACATGGACCTACTCCATATGAACTCAGGTGTGCTGCCCGCCCACTAAGATTTCAGATGAAAGGGAAACTGCCAGAGCTGGAAGCTGAATTATTAAAACATTTCAGCCTGACTTACCTATCAAAAGTTTCAATGGTGTAGCTGATTAGAGGTCTGTTGAGGAAGGTGCAGAACTGTTTCGGTGTGGATAAGCCCATCCTTTCCCCAGAGCCAGCGGCTGGAAGGACTACAGCTACCGGAAAGTCCACCGCGCCTTGGCCCATATTTCCCTCGTTGACTCCGGCTTCGGATTTCAGAAGACACCGGGGATCACAAGGCCTGTCGGACGCGGTGCTCACGCTTTCCATATTTTCGCAGCTAGAACGCTCCTTTCGTTTATTATGCTACTCTGACACGTCTACCGTGATGTTTTAAGACCGAAATATCACCAATACTTTGCTCTGGTTTTGCATTACTGTCGCAGGTGAGAACCCGGCGCCAGCTTAGCTTCCTTCAGCATTAGCACGGAGAGGCTAAGGAGCAAAGCAGCAGCGCTGCAGAAACCAGAGAGGAGAAAATGCTGCCCCAGTAACTTAGACTGTAAAAAATAAGCCGCTTATAAACTTAAAAAAAAACAAGTGAACCGGGTTAACTTGAAATTTTGAGTTTACTCAACCTCTAATATTAAGTTAACAGAAGAATAATTATGTTTTACATTTGTTAACTGATTCAGCTCAGTGAACTCAAAATTTGAAGTTAAGTTTACTTATTTTTACTTATTACTTAAGTTTTAAAGCTGCAAGTTGCATAATTTGGGAGGCAGCTGTCATCTGAAAGGGATTATTAAGTGGACACACCAGATCCCTACAGAGGTTTTCTGCTAGGTTTTTTGAACAGTGCATGTTCAAAAGGTGGCCTATTAGCTTTGACAGTGTTGACAGTGCTTAGTTTAGTAGAACCCACAACCCCCACGTTTGTTTAGGAAAGTATGACTGATGTTTTTTTCTTGAATAGTTGTTTTTCTGTGATGCAGACCGAAGATTTATTCTGCACGCTTATAACCATTTAACCCCTTGAACCCTAGACTTACTAACTGATACTGCTATCATAGGGATGCACCGATCGTGAATGTTTATGTCCGATTCCAATTTCTTCACAGCCAAATTGATGGACGATATTTTTGGTCGATTTTTTTTTCAGCATTTTTACAATTCGAAGGAAGCACTCTGTGAGCTTAATGAACACGTGAAATCTTTAATGGACCAAATTGTCGTTAAATGACATGAATCATATAAAGAGCTACACTGAAAGAAAGAGGGAACTTAGCACACTCAGCTTTTGCGTTTTTGATACAGACAGGCGTAGCAGCAGCATCCAAGCGTTTAAATGCACTACATTACCACTTACCTGCCTCACATTATATAAAAGCGCAGCACTGACCAGCCAAAATTAAAATAATAAATTAGCCAATTGCTTATTGTGTGCCTTGCTGAAAAAACATCATACACCAGAATATGTTGTGTTTTGGATACTGATATGCTGGTCACGACCATGCTTGGTGACCAGCTAAACCAGCACCACTCCAGTTTAGACCAGCATGGAGTTCGCGTTGGTCTAAGCTGTGTCTTTTTTTCTCCAGCAGCGTGATTGGAGCAAAACTGGTAATTTCTTTCTTGTTAAATGTGACGTTAATGGTTAAACACAAATGTATAAGGAATAATAAAGACTTATTAGTCAGTAATTTACTAATTAGTTAGTAATTTCTATAAATGATTTAATAACTACTATAAAATGTCATTTATGTAGTTGTGAAAGTGAGAGACTGGAGTGTGCACCAAGGGCCTTTAAGGTTCAAGGATAACGGCTTAAAAACATCACGATTATCCATGAAGTATAGTTTATCATAAAACATAAAATAATAATGAAACAAAACAAAGCTCTGGTAATTTCAATACTCTTAATTATAAAAAGTTAATTCTTTTCTTGTTGCTCTTATATTCTTTCTTTTTTTGTCTTTAGTCCTGTACTAAACCTCTAGCAAATGCATATTAGTGCCCTGGTATTTTTTATTATTTTGATTTATTTTTTATCTAATGTATACAAAATGAAAAAAAGATATAAAATTGTGCCTTCACAGTCAAGTTATTGCTGTTTATATTTGTTTCACAGAAAACTATATATAATGTTGGCAGACTGTTGCATACTGAGTGTGTGCAAATGTTTGTCACGGGCCAACAGTGAAAGCATGGGGGAAGGAATGATAGACAGAGCATTCAGTGTATTTGAATTATTGCAATTTAATACTTTCACACTAAAAAAAGTGAATATGAACATTATTGTCATAGATTAGTGCAATACCACATAATTATCAATGCCTGCATAAAATTAAAACATGTATATGTAGGAATAGTTGAAACGTGTAGAAAACATCAATGCAAAATATATTATATCAATATATACTTGATAATAGCACATTTGAAAAAGGTAAATACCTTGCAACACAGGTAATTACATATGAATGCATATACTGTTTATTTACACAGACTGTATTTACACATAGCTATATCCTTCTCAAACTTGAGATAATTCAGCTTTATCTGGCATTCCATACATACTACTACATACTATAGCCAGTGATATGATTTCTCATAGAGAGACAGTCATAGGATCAGAGGAATATTTTAGATATATTCAAATGCCAAATTCTGGCATGTAGTCATTGTGGGTTTGCATACGAGTCATGAGCAGTGATCACTGGAGGCCAAGCTTGGTCTGAAGTCTCACTCACTTCAGGGGTAATAGCCATAGATTGTCAACCTGTCCATCCTCAAAGACACCATCAGTTCCTTTCCACTGCTCTTTTAACAGTCCATTGTGCAGTTCTTCCTTTAGAGGTAATCCACTGCCTCGTTCAGTCTCAGGATTCCAGCTCAGGCCAGTTCCCATTTGCCTTGCTATTCCCATGCTTCCGCTTGGTCTTGGGCTTGTGGATTGGCTGTGGTTGAGAAATGCTCTCAGACTTGTTTCCCGATTCATTGTGCTGCCTCAAGTAGCGCTTGCACTTGCAGCCAGTCACCACCGTGATCTTATAGGTCCTGGTGCTGCCGTCCTGACACTGCAGCTGGATGCGCTGGGTCCGGCTCTTATCATTGACACAGCGCCAGTCTTGGTTGGAGTTGCCCCTCCGGTTCCAGAACTTCCTGCCGTGTCCTCCTATCCAGTTAGGCAGCATCTGGGCCGGGAGGCATTCCCCTGCACATACCAGCTCTTTAATGGGGCTGATGCTGGTGCACTGGCCATCAGAGATGTACTTAGTAGAGCGCAGCTCCCTGCAGCCCACCGGGCCTCGATCTGAAATGAAAAAGTCAGCAGAAAGCCCTCTTTAGAAAATGTATTTGGAAACCATGACATTGTTTTAAATATGGCAATACTACAGCTTCTCATTTGCTCTGGAATGTTACTGACACACACATGGCACAGCAGTTTTAGTACTGATTGAAGTGTTCATACTTCTCTTTTAAAGATACCAGAAAGGGTTCTTTAGAGCGAGAAGAACCACTCTTGGTTCCCTAGTGCAAACTGGTCCTCAGGGCTGTTTTGAGAACCACTATAAGGGTTATAGAGCTAGAGCAAAAATGTGGACCATCTTGGGGCCCCCGAGAACTAGTTTGAGAACCACTCTGAGAGTCAGTAACCTTTTTTAAAGCTGAAAGACCCTCCAAATAAAGGTCTATACAAATTAAAGAATTTTCTTAGAAGTAAACACACATCATTTAGGAACATTTCTTGTTAAGAGGTGCATTTATTTTAATTTTCAACTATTGGCCTTTTAGGTGGGGTATCCGACCTGCATGCCCCTTTCTGGCATAGTGGAAATGGTTTAGTGCCCTAACGGATGTCAACTCAGAAGCTCTTATTGTTGGATTAGGCTGGCGCAGCTGCTAATACTATGAGCATTGTTCTGCCTTGGGGCTACACCTCTTGACGGTGCAACCCAAGCCAAGCCCCTTTCACTGGGCAACACACACACCTCAGCAACAATGAGCCCCCTTCTCCATGACAGGCTGCGATGAATGGACGAGCGCAGGAGCTTTTCTTTTGCCCCGCTTCAGGTAGCAGGAGTTCAAGACAAGCGCAGCCCTGACCGGAGACTTCCTGAGCAACTGAGCCGCAGCGCCATTCACCCAGCCTGACAGGATTCACTCAGCACACATTGTCCACCAAGCTCTCTCATCTCTGCCGCTCAACATGGGTGTGTGCCAAAGGACTGTGTAATGCATATCGGCTCATTCACCATTGCAGCAACTCATTGAGTAAAAGTCACCTTATAGCTGACAGTACTGACAAACTATGACAATGTGGAAAAAGTAGTTTATGTGATATGTGACAGATGCGTGGTTTATTTTTATTGAGCTACTAAACAACATCTACATATATATATATATCAATTTTCATCTTTTTCTTTCTTTCTTTCTTACTTACTTTCATTTCTGTTTCTAACCCCATTAATCTAATTAAACCATTAAATATTTTCCTTATGCCTCCTTTCTGACTTTGCTTCTTCCTTCTTTCCTTCATTTCTTTTTTCTTTTTTTTCTGTTTTGAACCATAATCTAATTTTAGATTACACTACACTATTTTCTCCATTCATCTTATTTATTTATTTAGTTCTTCCATTCCAGTTATTCATTTATTTCCCTTCCATCCTTCCTTTCCTCCTTTATTTCTTCCTTCCATTCATTCTTTCTTACTTATCATTCAGTCATTTTCTTCCTTCCGGTTCTTTCCTGCTTTCTTTCTTTCTTCCTTTCCTGTCATTCATTCATTTCCCTCCCTTCCTTTTCCATTCTCTTTATCTGCCCTCATCTACCTACCCTTACTTTTTTCAATACCACCCCCTAAGCGCGCGCTCGTCCACTCACCGCCGCTCCCGCGCGCTCCCGCGTTCTCCAGTCCCCTTCCTGCGCTGCGCGCGCGGTTGAGCGCGGCTGCCCCCGCGGTGTCCGGCTCGGTGCTGTGCTCGCTGTGCTCGCTGCGGCTGGTCTGTGTGGTTTGTGTGGTGTGGCGCAGCTCCGTGTTGTGGTTGCTGAGAGGCGCGGCGCTCCGCATCAGGACGCACAGCAGCAGCACGAGGCTGCAGGGCTCGGAGCGCGCGCGCATGACTGCGTGGAGGAGCGTGTGCGCCGGACTGGACTCAGACTGTGTCAGATCCAGCTGTCTGGACACTTATATACCTCCTCCCTCTAACCGGGCAGTTATATACCCCTCCCGAGTCTGAGGCAAAGGCTCAGGTGAACGGAAGATTCGCGCGTACAGCACCACGCCCAGCCAACCGCTGGACCTTACGCGCTCCGAGTAAACAGACAGCGCGCTTGGGGGATCCGAGTGACGTCAACAGCGGCAGAAATGTTCACCAGAAAGAACTGAAGCAGATTAGACTCGGAGTGCTAAGAGACCTGAACTGATTTTAATGCTCAGCATATACAGGATCTAATACAACACATTATATTGTCCAATGTAGCCTATAATGTAAATCTAATGAAGAGCATCTCAGTGTCCAGTATGCTTGGTCTTGCTTTTACCACAGTGCGAAATTGGCCAGTTTTATTTGTAAAGTTAAAGTCAGCCTGAGGTCACAAATGACCTTTTACCATGTTAGTTCATGTCCCTGGTTACATTAAATGTTTTTCATCACATCATTGAAAACCAAAATACTTGTTTTCCATCTGAATGGAATGACTTGCGTACCTCTCAAACATCTGCAATTCTGATTACATCAACATGCACTGTAATGTCATGTTTCACCTTTCACCACCCCAAAAGATTTTTTTGTTAAAATTGAAAGAACTAGAATTACTGAGTCAGGAGAAAAAAACACGCTACAGTATGGACACATCCTTCACCAAGTTTTGACTGAGTTCTCTTTAAATACTCTTTCAACACACTTGGAATCATCAGATTCATCCACTCGGCTGAATCCCAACCGATATTACAAAATGTTCTTCTTATGGATGCGTTAACACTTGGCTCGATTATGTGCCACCTGATACCGCGTGACGTAAGCAGAGAATCTGCTGCTGTGCTAATGAACAAACGACTCAAGCTGGAAGTAAAGGAGGGTCTGCTCACACAAGTTGGTAGTCACTTTAAACATTTCTCCTTGGCATATTCCCACCAGGAATGCACTGTGTGATTTTTAAACACACACAATCACGACTGTTTCCCCAATACAGGTGGAGCACAGAGGCTAGCAAAACAGAGGCAAAAAAGTCAACATTTGCTACCAAAGCCCATATATGGCGACTTTACTCTGTTTGGCTCAAGACAATTTTGACATATAAAAATTAATATGGTGCATTTTTAAAACTGTCTTTGTAAAATAAGACCATATTGTCCTACCGTGTATATATCAGTGCACAGTGTAGTTAGTTGAGCTGCTGTTGCTCTGTTTCTCAGCATGTCGGTGCACAACATACTATTTTAAATAAAACAGCTTTATTGGAAATTGTCCATGGACTGAGCTATCTGTAGGGGCTGCGTTTCATGTAGCATGGACGAGTGTTTTCGTACACTGTGAGTATATAAATTGTAGGCTTTGTACACGAGGGTCTATTCAAACGTACAGTGCTAAACACCGAAGAACAAGATTTCTAAAGTCACACAGTGAATATCTGGCTTTAGACATTCCACTGCAGCTCAACCAGCCAATCAAAAGACTTCAGCAAGATGTTAAACTCCAGAAGTGAGCTCTTCGGTTTCGCCTCAGATGTGATTCCTCCTGTCAAGGTGTTACAGAGGCTGTTGTTGAAATGCACTCTTCTCCACTGCACCACTACTCGATCCAAGGTAACTAATGTAACATACCTAGCTAATGCATGTCATTTAAAATCAGCTAGATTTTAACAATTTAACTGTTGAGGTACATTGCACTCATTTACACTAACAACTACTTCATACTAAGTAGGTGATTCGTTCTTCTGCATGTTGCATGCAATTACACATTTTCACCAGAGAGGTCCAAATCCCCTAAACTTACACAGTGCAGCTTTAAAGGAATGTTGAAAAATCAACTGTACACAATATTCTCTTCACCTCTAATGTAGTCGATCAGGTAAGTCATTTGTATTATCTAAAATTTGTTTCTTGTGCAATGAAAGTGCAATAAAATGTAGCTAAAATGTAATGAAAGTCTATGTTCTTGAAAGTCTATGATTCTTTTTGGGTGACACAGACTTCTATTACATTCACAACCCTGCCCTTCTGCAAAACTGAAGAAGTACATTTTGCACTCCAAACAGCTGATCAGCTACGTGTGAGGTAAGCGGAAAAATTGTGTCAGTTAAATTTTTTGGTGAACTATTCCTCTAAGACTGGGGCCTGTGACTTGGCATGAAGTGCACACTGTCATTCATGAAGAATGTGTATTGTTTGATGAATAACACGATGTATCATCAGTTTGAGCATGCTTTCCTGGCTGAACTACACAGACATGAACTCAGCTTGATTTGGATTCTTCAGCTTTCAGGTGCAGTTTTCTGATTCAGCGAGGCACATTTTATCATCAGCATAGTGAAGCGTAAAAGAAGTGTAAAAACATGCTCTGGCCACCGCAAAAAAAATACTTCACATCCTTGTTCACTACACCCAATTCTCGTTACACCCCCTTGCAATGTAACACTTTAAGAGATGTTATTATTGATTGATTGATTGTTTGATTGATTGATTGTTTGATTGATTGACTGTTTGATTGATTGACTGATTGACTGATGTCCCATGGGCCAAATCTTAATGCTTTGATTGTGACAAAAGAAACTGTTGACAACTTTGTGTGTAAAGTAGTGAAATCTTTACCATTTAATGAGAGAAACACAAACCAAAACAAATAAATACAATGTATGAGATCCATGGCTTCTTGTGCAATTATAATTTTTCATTCTCACAATGCTTTAAAACCAGGTGCAGGTAAAGCTTAAAAAGACTAAATCCTGAGAACAAAGACAAAAAGGCCATAGGCCAAGTTTCAAGGGGGGGTCATTCTGTATTTTGTGATGTGCTGTACTTTTTTTGTAGTTTTTCAAAGTGATGAAGATGTTATTTCTGTAATAACAATAATAGCTGGTAAAAAACAGTAAATAATATAGGTAGAAAAGGCTAGAATCATAATGATGTAATGGAGTATTGTTACTTTAGTGAAATGAATCAAGTAGAAGTAAACTTCTTAATCCAGCATTCAATATGAAGTTTGTGAGGAGCTATTCGTCTCTATTTTGGGATCCTTTTAGTGTAATGTAAAATGCTAAAGCTCAAATGGGAGAGATGTGAACAACAGCAAAGCAGTGCACAACAGAATAAAACGAATGAATTAGGAACTAAAGATGAATGAGTAAAATGGAACTGAGGAAAAATTATTTCCTTTTCATTTCAATTTTTATGTGAATAGTGTACATGAGTGTAGTGTATTGTAAAACTATAAAATATTGCACTTGAGTATCAAAGAAGCACTTAAAAAAGAGCTTCAAGAGCTGGTGCTACAGGGGTTCTTTGGTAAAGAATATGGTTCTATGTAGAACCATGAACACTTGAAGAATGATTTGCATAATTAAAGGGTTCCTTGCATCATGAAGGGGTTCTTCAGATTGATGAAGAATGTGCTGTAGAGGGTTCTATATAGAACCTTTTTGAAAATGGTTCTATATAGCACCCCAAAGTATTCTTCTATTGTAACAGCGTCAAGCCTGTAACAATAGAAGAACCCTTTTAAAAAAAAATTCTATACAGAATCATGTATATATAGCATATGTATGCATCTTTTCCATCAACCCAGAGAACGCTTTCATGAAGCAAAGAATCCTTTAATCATGTAAAGGGTTCTTTGAGTGTCCAGGGTTCTATATAGAACCAGTTTCTTTACCAAAGAACCTTTGAAGCCCCATCTTTTTTAAGAGTGTGGAAAGGTATTATCAGTTGAAAACATTTAGTAGTGAACAAATCCATCTCTTAAGTACTTTTCTAACAGACAACTAATATAACTAATTACAGCCCCCACACTCTTCTGTTGATTGGAATACAATAGACCTCTACTATACTACCATAGTAGCATCTTCACTATTAGGTGGTGCAACCACAGAGGGCCTGTCAATGACCAACAAGCTAATATTTGAGGGAAATGTGCGCCCTCTTGTGGCCATGACGGTTCAGCAGGTTACTTCCAGTGCAGACTACAGTAATCCTGTCTGAAGTATCGCAAACTAGTTATTGTGCTACTCTACTCTTTTATGGGTGTGTTTAGTTTAGCTTCTCACACACTCTAGGAGCAGCTCCCATTGTGAGCACATTAAAGACCTGCTTTGTTCTCAAACAAACACAGTGTGTTTCTTGGCAACAGGCTGCTCGTGTGAGACATGGAGGTGTGCAGAAAGGTATCAAAACTTAACCTCAACAGCAGATTTTATCTACTGCATCAATATTTTTGCTTAAAACTTTGTCTCAAAAAGCTGATATTTGTCTTTTGCAGGGAAATGAGGCCCCTCTGCACATCCCTTCAAAAGAAGTCCACATCGGTGAACTTTACCTTGCAAAACGGTAATGCTACACTGAAAGTATAACGCAGAAAGTTTTGTTTGTATTCTTTTGTTCAAAAATATTTACTATCATGCTCATACGTTATTCAATGAACACGACTAATGTGATTAAAGTGGCTTGTGTAATTTAATACTGATATGGGCTGTTGTGTTTGCAGGGGTCTCTCAACTGTGCCTGATTTGTCCAGATTCAGCCAGCTGAGATATGTTTGGCTTAACAACAACAGGGTAAAATTCTTGACAGTCTGAAATATATCAGTTATAGGATCTTATTTATAAAATTAGATGCCAATTTTCCTTTTTTTCAGATTTCAGAGTTCATATCTATTTTCATCTTAGCCGAAAAAACATTGTCACATTGCTTCGTCTTTATTGTATAAAGAAGTCAATCATTACTTTTCCTAAAAGGAAATACTGATTTATGACTTTGCAGATAAAGGATGTCCATGGCAACATGTTTAACTGCTGCCTAGCAGAGCTGTACCTCCAGAACAATGAAATCACCTCAATCTCAGGTATTTTTAGGTACAACAATAATAACATGTCTGTGTTACGTTTAAGCTACCACTGCACCCTGTGTTTAGTCAAATTTTCCTTGCTGTGACATCTCTCTTTGGAAGAAAAAAAAGAGAAAATTTCCATTAGCTTCAATTTTTTCACCCAGACTAAAAGTTTTCAACAGCAGATCAGTGAGAGTTCTCTCTGCTGGCTCTGGTTCAGTGTCATTTTGATTTATGCCAGTGTGGCTTGGTTCAGTGATGTGTGCAAACGCCTAAACGAGCTCCAGATCATCCATGGTAAACCCATTAGCTGTTTTAAAGGGGAATTCCACTGAATTTTAAAACATTTTTCACAATTCAGTCGTTAAAGTTTAAACAGTCATTCAGAGTGGTCTGATGTGAAATGCTTTGTTCTAGAGAAACTTACTGAGTCAGAATTTTTCACTGTGATGGTGATAGGAACCAGACATCTGATGCATTTGATGTCTATATAAAGCTACCTCACAAGTAGTTATGACACATAATGGTTGCGTATACACTGCCTGAAGCCTGAAACTGTTTTATAATGGTTTTTGAGAAAAGCTTTTGGTGTAAAGCCATTTTTTTACAATCCATTCATGGTGGAGAGGTAAAACAAAATAGTACCCCAAAAAGCTTTTTTTTCAGATTTACCACTATTTAACATTATGAACATCATATGTAAAACTACGTGTACATTTATAGGTCATTTTGGATAATAAATAAAATGGCTATATTTGTAAAGTTTCTTTACAATGCATTTCACATAGAACTACTCAGAATGACTTTACATCTCACCAATTGAACTATGTAGAAAAGGTCAGTGGAATTGCACTTGAAAGTTTTGTTTGGGGATTTGGAGCGTAAATGTGCAGTCAACCCATAACGACATGGTCTAAAAAACTCCTGGCGAATCCAGTCTTACTGCTCTGAGTTCTACTAACTCCACTACTACTTCTTTCATTTTTCATTTACACAGTGCAGCTGTAAGAAAAGCCATGTGTGTTCAATCTACAGACGTCTTACCTGTCTGTGTCACTCCTCTCACACATGTACACACACACAGGGTCCTTGAGACACCTGACCTGCCTGAGAGTGCTGTTGCTTCACAATAACCAGCTGAAGGACCTGGAGGAGATGGTGGCTGAGCTGAGGAACATGCATTGCCTGCAAACTGTCAGTAAGTAAAGAAGGAATTCTTTCAATATGACCCACGACCTATTAGTGAGCAGTAGTTTGTAAAATCTATGTAAGATGAAAAATGATGCATATGAAGTTAGGCATATGATATTCCAGATTTTTTCCTGAATCCCTTTACGCAAGATCCTGAATACCGACAATACGTGATCCATCACTTGCCATCTGTGCAAATATTGGACAGGAAAGGTATCTGTAAACTAATCTCTACTGTAGAATGTGGTTGGTTCTTCACAAATGTGAGGTAGAATATTCAGGTTTTATGTTACTGATTGACAGAAGTGATGCAGGCGGAGAGGACTCATGCCTTCCGGCTCTTCAGTCCTGAGAGACAGAGGATACTGGACACACTGGCTTTTGGCAGACGGGCACTAACATGCCCTGCAGGAAGGAAAATGACTCAGGACACATTAAAACTGAGATGTAATGTTTCTGAAAGAATAGAGAACATCTTATGGATTTAAATACACACTAGGACTTCAGACAAATGGAGTCTGTGCATGACGTGAACTTTGTATCTCCAAAATGGTAACTTTACAGGAGAAGGACCAAATGCTTTTAACTTTGAATGGAAGTTAGTGAAACAAGACGGAAGTTGAAGAATGGAAGTTTTTCCAAGTAATTTTTAGCATATCTATTGCTGCATTCATCATGAAATTTTGACACAATGTAAAGAGCAGCTGGTTTTTAAATTGTTTAAAACTATTTATCTAGGCAGTATTTGTGTTTTTACCAGTACAAAACACTATATAACATCAGAATAAATACAAACCTGAACAGTAAAAAAAGACTTTTTGTTGTTTTTGAAGTTAGTAATTATTAATATCTTGGTAAAAAGAATGTATTTACAAGAGCACAAGTCTGCTTCTCGACTTCTCGCTACATCACTCATTTTATGGATTTGTTAAATTCCACAAAATTTCATCAGCAGCACACCTGATTTAATTTAATGTAGGATTAATTAGCTGAAGCATGTGTTGGATGGTAACTGTAAATACTAGATACTGAAACTGAGTTTCAGAAATAGTTCCATAAACTCTCTCACACTTATAAATCACGATCTACTGTTTGTTTAATTCTAATGTTACTTTTTTTTAATAAATGACTGTCACCCAGAAAAATAGCTTTACACATTTTCTTTTTTTTACACAGTACTCTGGAAATCAGACCACCTTTTATTTATTTAATTTCCTGTCAAAACAACCATTAAGTACAAGTACAGAGGTAACGCCTGGTAGACCATCAAAACTGTCATTATCACATAAACAGTATTAAAAGCTTTTATCTTTCAGAGAGAGGAGAAAATCAAGCTCCACTCTTGCTTTAGACCTCAAAAAATCCATAGGTGTTTCTGTCCATCCTTCCACTGTGAGAAGACAACTCCATGCTATGAGTATGAAAGGATGTGTAGCTGTCATGAATAACAAAAGAGAAAAAAAATGCAGATCAAAGAAGCTGCTGGTGTTCTCAAAACAACGGACTGACCACCAACATCACTGAATGTGTTTGGGATTACCTGGATTGTGAGAAGCAGAAGATTCGACCAAACTCTAAGACTGAACTTTGAAGGTGTGGAAAAATATCCCTGCAGATTTCTTTGAAAAACTGAAAATAAGTTTTCCAAAACAAATGGAAGGTGTGGTCACACTAGATACTGAAATTTTCCATGTTATATTTAGTTGTGGCAGCATCTGTGTAATTTTCTGTCAAATGTTTGCTCCTTTTTTTTCTGACGCTGGTAGATATAACTTCATGGCTGTTTTGACTAAAAATGAAATAAACAAAGGATGCTCTCTGGCCTAAAATAATGCTTTACTTTATAGCTGACACATTTTACAGGCTTCTATTTGCCTCATACTAACTCACACTGTATTACATATAGATCAAATCACTGCTGAACTTAAGACGAGCCAGGTGTTTCGCTGTGTTTGTGTTGGCAATGCAAGATAAGATAATTTGGGTTTCAAGTTGGAGGGACCACTTCTTTATATAACTAATAAGTCATGTGCCACTGATTTCAGGTCCACATGGCTCCAGAAAGACCTGTACAATGTGAGTAAATGGAAAGGAATGAGGACAAGTTTAAACTGCCCAAAATGTGACAGATGTAAAGAAACTTGAGGGCAGTGTAGTGTGGAACTGTTTGCCGTTTTCAGTTGCCCATCTGACAAGATAGCGGACCCTTCTGAGTGCAGATTCATCATGCAATTCTCTATTATCGACTGGTGCTGTATGAGAACAACTCAACAGAGCCCCCTGGAGGAGTGGAGCCCAACTGCTGCCAGCATCCTCACTTTCAAATTCAGGTAAGCGTTACATTTCCTGCACCTCTTACAGGCACCCCCAATCTGTAATAAATGTTAAAACATTGCAGTGTTTTTCATTACTCATGTTTGTTTGTTACTTTCCTTCCCATTATTCTACTGAGCACTGTGAAGCTCTTTTGCTACTTTTAACTCTTTAATATGACTGCAGAAGTAACCTAATGAAGACTTGTGAATTTCTTGAGGTTCCATCTGCATTACTGCAACTGTGAGATGGAGTATTACTGCAAGAAAGTAATGTGTTTCAGAATCGCTACAGAAATGCTTATACATTTCTTTTTTAATCCTCTTCCACTATTAACCTGACATGTTTTAAGGCATTGGCTTCAGTGTCTTTAAGCAATATATTACAAACCAACTTTACGTAAACCAACTATCATAAATATATTCTCTCTATACTAAATCTACATGTTTCCATACACATTATCACATACACAACTTAAAAAGAACAAAACAATACAGTACAATGTGTTAGATGTGGACGGAAACCCTTCACAATGTGCCTCTGTGTCACAAAGCTTTGTTGGCTTTTCCGCTTGATCTCATACTCCATGGAGCCCTTCTCTGACAAACATTCTGAAGGCCACCTCAGATACTGGATGATGAACAGATCAAAACGGTCTAGCTGAGGCAGGTCTTTGATAATGATGATTTTGGGAAAGAAGCTGGGATAATGTTGTGTCTCTGTATAATCAGTCTGCATTTACTGGAACGGGCTCTGAGCTAACACTTTCTATTTGGATATCTGACGTGCTGGTAACTTGGTCCTTCTGAACAGAGAGATTTTCCATGGTGTTGGTCGTCTCTTCCAATGCTTTATTCTCTTCAGCTTCTGGGGGGAAAAACAGCACAAATTAAGACATCAACATACTAGCCAACAAGAGTGCTGGAATTATATGCTCTACATAATTTGAAGTAAGAGCAGAGAGGTTTGTTTTCATCTTGTGAAGTGGTTAAATCAAAGCAGCATATGAAAAACCGCAGGCTGAGAATACCTTTGGCCTGTTTCTCTAGTCGCTTGGCTGATTCAGCCTCATGCTTCTGCCTCTGCTCCTGCATTTTCTTGCAGACCTTCTTATGGGTAAACCAGTGAAGCTTCTGGCAGTCTTGGTTACAATAGATCACCTGAGAACATAAACAGTCACCTGTTAGTGACAACCTACAGCTGCCTACAGGGTAAGGGTGGGCGATGCTGCATGTTACTTAAAGACATTGTCGTCATTATACATGATATAAATAACAATACATTGTTTGCAAACACTTGAAACTGGCAAAATTCTGTAGTACTATTAACATTTTTAAAATTTTTTAAATAAAAAAAGCAGTAACGTGTGATGTCGGTTTTTGAAATGTATGTTTTTATCTTTCACAATCAAATACAGAAAATAGTTTGGTTTTTTTTTTTTTAAAAAAAAAGCTGTTTTTTTTGTGTGGACAGGAGGCTAAAACCTGGAGAAAAATCTAAAACAACCAAGCTAGTCTGTGTGCATTACAGTTAGTTTGAAGTAACTCTGGTGACCATATAGTTTAGCCATGCAGTGTAGACAAACAATTTCAAAATGCAGCTTATTCCTTCAGCCAGCACTGCTTATTCTGCCTGCTAAACTGAAACAGATTTAGCTGAGCTCGTATTTACATATCATACAGGAAACTGTCGTTTCAGTGGACCTTTAGGTGTTTTCATATTCTAGAATTTTTGGGTCATGCACAACCCTGTACTGCAGTCTATGCTATCTTTATTTTCTTTTTTTTTAATCATGTGACATGAATCAAGTCAACTAACTGATAACATGATTCAATGCCAACAATTTTTTATTAAGATTAAGATTAAGTGACCCTTATTAGTCCCACAACGGGGAAATTTATCCGCATTTTACCCATCCATGCAGTAAAACACCACATACACACTAGTGAACACACACTAGGGGGCAGTGAGCACACTTGTCTGGAGTGGTGGGCAGCCTTATCCACAGCACCAGGAGAGCAGTTGGGGGTTAGTTGCCTTGCTCAAGGGCACTTCAATCACGTACTGTTGGCTTAGGGGATCAAACCGGCGACCTTCAGGTCACAAGGCTGGTTCCCTAACCTCCAGCCCATGACTGCCCCATTATTGCCAACGTTACCGATAATGACGATTAGTTGTTGCAGCTCTACGTGTGACTATGCAGTTACTATACACCAGTTGTTGTTGTTCACAATTTATCACAATATGAGTATCATATAGCTCACCCTTACTTTAAGGATGGTTAATCAGAGATTAAAAAAACTGTTACCATTTTGCAGATGGAGCACTTCTTTTCTGCTCCCTTCTCCCCACAGGTGGTGCAGAATTCTGCATCCATGAAGCCCACCTGCCCTGTGATGGCCTGGGTAAGCACTGACAAAGCTGTGGGGTCATTACCCTAAGGGAAGAACACATATATATATATAATTTTTTTGCCACTAGATTTCAATCACCCGTATCTATACAGATGACTATGAACTACTAAGTAGATGCAGGGGCAGAGAGAATGGGTTCTGGGATTGCTTATAATAAGGAAAGTCATCTCTTCATTAAGCAAAAGAAGCAGAATTAAGCATTACTCACTATCTCAACAGGAGCTATACTTCGGACAAGCTGCTGAAGCAAAGTAGCATCACAGTAAGGAAATTTCCGGATGCATTCCCGAATAAATTTCTCCTGGAACACTGGGAAGCCGTCAGTCTCTCTACCTTTTAGAAGACTGTGAGGGGGGAAAAAAAACATAAATGTGAAAAAAAGCCTCAAAGGATCTTAACTAGGGAGATCAAGGACCTGTCACACAAACCAAGTTATCTGGCTTAGCCAGCTTTTTTTAAACTTTAATTTTAAACTTAGTTTAATGTAACAGTGGATTTTCTGTTGAACAACAGACGATCATGTTGTACTGGGATGCATCACCATGGCAAATTATGCTGCACACCTCACTCGCTCTGGGACAGGCTCGGTTCAGGATTACGATTGGTCCAGCACTTAGACCAATCAGTGCTGAGCTTCTGACCAATCATGGGCAGTCTTCTAGTGGAGGTGTACCATCTGGTCCTTGTCAAATTGTTTTCAAGTCGTTAGCTATTACACTGTTTTACTGTACACATGTAATTAACACACTAAAAGAAGTCAATCACTTAACCCCCCCTTTGTGATGTTTGGGCCAAACAGACAATTATGTAAGGAAAAAAAACACTTTTCAGCAAAGAAATCAAACATGAATGTGAACTGCAATTATTATAACACAGCATCAGCGTTAACAAAGTGACAGCAGTGACAATGTTGCTTAAAATTGCTTTACTTTCTACACATTTACATGTAATGATTTCTTGTTCCTGAAAAGCAGCCATTGGACTCCTCCATGTTTCATGTGATTGGCTGACACACATGGGGATTCACCATAGCTTGAGTATCTAAACCTAGGTTAACAGAGAAAGTTGTAAATTGCAATTGTAAACCGTCAGCTGCAGCAGGGGTTTCCTGAAGCTGAAACTTAGTCAGGAACACAGGAAACGTACTTTGTAGTGAAGGGAGTCAGATCAATATGCTCTAATCACACAAGAGCCAGCTTTTTTTTCGGCTGCCAAATGGCTCTTAGCACTATCAGGTTTTTTTTTGTTCCCAAAATTAGCCGTGTTAGAGATATTACCTATCAATCAATTTTCAGTCAAATTTAACTCTACCCTAAAATTTACTAATTAACAAAATGCATCATGTTTGTTATTTTAAAAATCAAATGTATTGGAATCAGGTAATAATAAGTAATTTCACTGGCAGGATCAAATCCAAGAGCAAAGCCATCAACCAGTCATCAACAAACAAGGGAGATAAAAGTAAAAAATCAGAATTAATGAGGCACACGGCTAAGAAAAATGATTAAGAATTACATAAAACCTGTGATGACCTCGTTAGTATATTGGGAGAGGCTCAAGACTCAGCACTGGTTTTCACAAAGCATCTCAGAGGAGGATTACTGCTGATCTACTATCACACTTTCATATTTTGGTTACAGGCACAATTATAAATCTAGACCAGCATGCATATTATTTGATCCTTAATATAGGTGTCAGAGCATAGATGTCAATACAGGCCCTGACCAGAAATCACAGAACTTACTCTACATACCGTAATATCTAGTTTTTTAAATGAACACTTATTGCTGAATTAACTCTTACATAGCTCATATATGTCTTATATGAGAATTCTGAGGGTTACTTTCACACTCAACAGTACATGCCATGGTTGAAAGTCAGGTGATACCACAGAAATCCCCGTACCTCTTGGTAAGGCCATCCAATTTATCCTCACGGTCTTTGATGAAGGCGCTACATTTCTGCAGCAAACAGCTGATATAGTGCATCTTCATGGCCAGAACCTCATTCATGTCCTGCTGCTTCACACACCTCTCACAGATCAGCTCCATCACCTTTCGACACTTATCTAGAGCCTCTGCATCTACAAGTAGCGGGTTCTCCTTGACCAGCATCACCATCTGCAAGAGACAGCACGTTTGTGAGAAGAATGTAACTGATTCTGGTGTTAATGCCAATACAAAGAACGTACTAACTTTTACTACTCACAAATAGAACAAGCAATGCAAAAGTACAATAACAAATGCACTAATAATGTATGCAAAAAAAAACATCAATTATTTTCCCGAAATTTTACCGAATGACAAAGACATCAAGAGTGGAGTCACAGCAGGGAATACATGAAGACTGAATCGACAGCTACCTTGACAGGGTTGAGATTAGTACTCATGATGATTTTATGCAATGGTCCTGCTAGCTTAGGGGGCAGTTTTGGCTCCTTTTCTAAGCCCTGGGGTTTCGTATAGTAGTCAAGCCTCTTCCGGGAGAAAAAATTATTGATAACGGTGACACAGTCATGCTGTCCTAATGAGAAAACATATAAAAACTGTTATTCATGTAGTCCCTTTATGTTTACATATAATAACATTAAATACATCAATATAAACTCTTGCACAACATCATATTGAGATTCAAAATAAAAATATTTTCATCATTGTCTTCTTACCCACAAAAGCAGCCATTTGTGCTGCTGTTCTGCCCACTGAGTTCACCACATCTGTTTCTGCTCCAGCATCCAACATCATCCAGGTGATATCTGTCTTTCCTTCAGAACAAAAAAACAGTGCATTATCAAGCAGTGTTTTCAAATGGCTATGATAGTAGTACGTTAGAAGTTTTGATTCAAATAAGCAAATTAAAAAGCACCATGATGCACCCTTAGACTTCTATAACATCACCTATATTGCAGATTAGAATCCTAAAGGTAAATGAGAATTTCCACACAGTGACTGTAAAACATACCTGAGAGACCGGCAAACATGAGAGCAGTGTAGCCATGTTCATGCTCATTGCAGTTGACATCTGCTCCATGCTGCAATAGCAGCTTACACATGTCTGCTTTGCCCTTATATGCAGCATGCATGAGGGGCGTCATGCCATACTGTGGTGAAAACGCAAACGAAAGTCAGATTAGCATGAAGTGAATCAATTAAAAAATGTAGCACTGTACAAAGGTCAGAGAACACATTTTTGGGTGGGAGGAGATATTTCTAAGAAGAGACCATAAATAAGACACCACTTGCATAAGATAAAAAACAACTAGTTTTTAAAAGTATGTTATTAATTTTTCAGGAAATAGAGATAGAGTTCAAAAAATGATTAAAAGAAAAAAAAATATAAAAATGTATAGAGAAAATGGGATTACTAACAAACGTGCAAGATCTACAAACAGTAAATTTTTGGGAGAGGAGAAAATTAAGCTCCACTCTTGCTTTAGATCTGAAAAAATCAACAGACGTTTCTGTCCATCCCTCCACTGTAAGAAGACAACTCAACACTGTGAGTCCGAAAGGATGTGTAACTGTCAAGAAATCATTACTGAGAAAATGAAATAAATGGGGAGGGAGAGAGTCAAGTCTATCAACAAGACTGGAAACTGTAATAAAGGCAGAGGGCGGACACACTAAATACTGAAAATGTTGATATTACATTAAGTTGTTGAGGGTCCTGAGTAATTTTCGGTTATTATACTCCCTGCTTTTCCTGATGCTCATAAAAAAAATAATAAATGAACGGTGGTCTCTAACTTCTGCTTGGTGCTGTACATTTTAATTGCTGTCTTAAGACAACAATACTGTTTTGGAAACAAACAAAGGCAGTGAGCATAAATAACTGTAATTATATAAGTAGATTAAACACTTTATTTTACTTAAACTAGCACTGCCCAAAACAGACAGTCCTGGCAAGAAACTGACACAAACAGAGACTAACCAGCCAATATCAGTTAAGGCTACAGCTGCTTTGGAAGCCAAGTGTCCCTGACATCTGATCTTGGCAGGTCACTGTTAGCAGATGCAATAATCTTCTCCTCCAGTAAATGAATAGGGGGCTATTTAATTGTTCCAAAATAAACCTGCTTATCAGTGGAGAATTACCTCAGCAGCTTACTGGTCAAAGATTGTAATACGAAAATATTTTAAGAGCAAATGGTGTAAGCTCAGCTAGTTGTTTACAACTACTCACCTCATCCAGGCAGTTGACCCTGACATCTTTGGAGCCAAGCAACCGTGATGCTTCCTGCACATTACCTGCAAATGACATGAAGCGTTATACACCTCAGTTGTAATTACAACTTGCATTACACTGCAGGCTCACTGGAATTAACAGGTTACCCAGCTAGCTAGCTAACTACCTAAACTAGCAAGTTATGACAATAATGCAGTATTAACACTACCACACGGAAACACATCCATTAATGAGAATGTCTGGCAAACCAGACAGTAATTTCTGCTTGACCCCTGCCTAATTACGAAGCTGAAGTCATTTGATTGTACGATTTTTTCCCGTTCCACCTTAAATAGTGCAGCAGTTACACTCTGGTGCATCAGGCTGCACCATTTAAGGTAGAACGGGAAAATCCTAACAAGAACCGTTACTTTATTTATGTCAGTTAGCTAGCTAAACAAAACTAGCCAGCTTAGCTAACTTTCCTTTGCTAAGTAAATCAAAGGTCTGTCACTGACAGGTTGCTAACAGGCTAGCCAGCTAGCTAACATTAACTCTTTATCCAGCAGCTGATTAGTTTGTTACAAAGTAAGTTAGAAACAGCTCAGCTAAAATGTTTCATCATTCAGGGAACTATCGCAGTTACTAAAGCCAAGTGAAACCTGACCGAAGTGCCGGCATGCATACAATTTAACACTGTCAAAAGCGTAAAGTAGTTAACCTAGGTAGCTAGCTAACTCCGCTAACCGTTAGCTGGTATTACCTGCAGCAATAACCACGAATAACTCCTTTTCAGTGTCGGACAGATCTCCTTTCTTTGGAGCAGACATTATCAGCTAAATATAGATAAATCCGTATCTGAAACTGGCAAAAATCAATACAGTTTTGTTAAAGGCCACCTCAAGCCGCAACTCCTTACACCTAATACATAAAGTACCAGACTGTACGAAGGAGCGGAGCAGCGCCGCAGCATGCAGGGGTTTAGTCAAGACTGTACCATCTGCACATTAAAGGGGTGTGCTGTTTAACGATCTTATTCTGTAAATTACTTATCACAGCTTTTTGTTTTTTTTTTCTATTTAAATAAGTAAATTCAATGTATATGTGCGATGTAAACGCGATTGCACCGTTTGTATATGGTGCCTTAATGTACTTTCAAAAGTGAACTTTGCCGTAGTGGTACAGGCCACTGAGGTCTAGAAGATTCATCCCAGACTCTTCAACACGGATTTATCGACGCTACTTTTTCACTTTCCTAGCAGCATTTTCAAAACATACGACACACACGCACACACACACACCCACACTCCCTCTCTCTTGCCTTGGATTGCTATAGCCCAACGTACATGAAAAACCACATATGGCGTTCTGCCCACAGACACAGTCTGACACTTAAAGAATAGCCTAATAATAATAATAATATAATAATAATAATAATAATTATTATTATTATTATTATTATTATAATAATATAGACCATACCTATTATTATTGTTGTTGTTGTTGTTGTTGTTGTTGTTGTTGTTATTATAAGTCTGGTACTTTGTGCATTAGGTCCTAAGTTCGGCTTCCTCTTAAGGAGGCATTTAGCAAAACAGTCTGTGGTTCCGCCACACGATGGCAATCTATTCCCTTAAAAATGGGCATAATAATAATAAATAAATAATAATAATAATAATAATAATAATAATAATAATAATAATAATAATGTTATTTAATTACAAATAAGTCCTAAGGAATACTTGGATTATATGGAACACATTATTTGTTTATGCAGTGGTATCAACTGGAAGCTCGCGTGATCCAGAGTCCGGTTCAACAGGATTTAATGATGTCCAACGTTGAGATAACACGCTGAACTCTGAACGCTCAGATAAAACCGTGGTGATCTGGTGTAGGACTTCGCTTTATTATTACACGTCTATAGTCAGCTGCGCCGTTTTCCTGTTGAACGTGTCTCTGATCTGCTCGATCCTGAAGGAAGTACAGAGACCAGACTGTACCTGCTCACTGAGCAGGAGCTGTGAGGAAGAGTGGCCGCTCTAGCTGTACTTACTCTCCCTTCATTAGGCCGGAGGTGTCTGCCAGAGGAACTTCATGTGATTCAGTAATTGATCGCTCAGAATGGGCTGTGGAGGATTCGTTTGCTCTAAAAATGCGCTTTGCGCGCTGAACATTCTTTACGCGGTAAGTAAAGAAGCAGAACAGTCTGCCTTTTCCAGTCATTATAAAGACAGCTCTTCATCTGGGCCTCCAGTTCTCTGGGAGCTGCCCCGCGTCTCGCGCTTTAACAGTTTTTTATAGAAGGCATGTAGTTTGGTGGGTTGCCATTGTAGATATATTTTTAAAAGTAGTTTTGTGATTTATTTTACCTACACATTCGTGGTCACTAAAGAGAATAATAATAATAATAATAATAATAATAATAATAATAATAATAAGAGTGTAACGTTACACATACCTTGAGGTTTGATATAATATCTGATTCTAAGGTTAAAATTCAATTCAATTTTTAATATTTTATGTGTTAAAAGGTCTTAATTTTTAGGAAACACAAAAGAAAAAATCAAAATAAAAGATTTTTACAAGAAGCATGTCATTATGCAAAATAGTGATCTTATAAAACAATACAAAAATAGCCAGGAAGCACTCAGATGACTATAGTTTGATCACCAAAAAAATAGAAAATGAGAGACTTGAAAGAGCCTAATATGTAGTTGATATAGTTTTAAATTACAGTACAAACTTTTTTCAGTTTTGATACTATATTGAAATCACTACACCGATTACTTTCATCATTACTTGTGGAATGTAAGCCTTATCAGATTAAAGCTATACACTAATGAGTAACCTATCTCTAAAACTGTTCAGCTGGTGAGTCTGCTCATGATTGCGGTGGCAGCCTGGGGTAAGTGGTTTGGCCTGGTCTCGAGTTTCCAAGTGATAGCCGCCGTCATTGGAGTTGGTTTCTTTCTCTTCATCGTGGCAATTGTGGGTCTGTGTGGAGCTCTAAAGCATCATCAAGTCCTCTTGTTCTTTGTATCCTTTAGAATGAACTATTTCTTCAAAAGGGATGTGATTTACCTTCAATATCATCTTTATCTCAGGAGATACACTGATACTGATCTTGTTGTAGCTCTCCCTTGTTAACCAACTACATATATGTCTATAGTCTTTCTGTTGACAAAATTCATATATAAATGACTTTTATATGGTAGAAGATCCTTAACTGTGTCCTGTTCAGTACATGGTCATCCTCTTCATGGTGTTCATTGTGCAGTTCTCAGTGTCATGTGCATGCCTGGCCATCAATAAGGAACAACAGGTAAGACAAATGAGTACAAAACCATACTAGGAACGTCTTAGTATGTCCAGCCCATATCAGCAAAGGAACTGAAGTTAGATAGCTGCTGTTCTTCTCTTTCTGGGGTCCTTTTGGTCTAAAAAAAATCTAATGCTAAAGCGAAAGGTGGGAGCAACAGTTAGGCTGTCCAGGTGCTGAATCAATCAAACGATAATGATATTGAACAGATATGTGAATGATTAGAATGTAAAAGTAAATTCCTTTACAAATCTAGGAATTTTGTTTTGTAATTAGATGGAACAGAGTGACTGCAACTGGTTTTGTACCACCTGATATAATATTAATTATTCTCACGGGGAAGTATTAGCAGAACATATTTTCTCAGAGGAGTAAGTAAATAGCAGTTTGACATTCTTCTTAAAATTAACCCCTTAAGATGCTTCGTATGTCCACATCCTAAGGCTTAATATTTAGTAACTACATTGAAAACTATGCAAAATGATGGAGTAATTATTAATTATAAAAAAAGTTTTAAACTGTCACTGGGGTGGTACCCTCAAGGCTACATCTCAGTACCTTTAGTCAGGGAACATAATTGTACTTTAATCCATTGAAATAATATTTTCTCCACACCCCCCGTCTCGTCTCCGGGCTTTTTATTAATTGTTCTGTTTTAAAACACTAGGTTATAAAAAAGGTACAAATAAGTACTTTTCACCGGGAAAAACTTATTTAAGGTAAACAATTGGACCTTAAAGCCACTGTTGTACCTTTGAGGGCACATTTACATTGTTTGTACCTTGATGAACGAAAACTGTACCTGCACAGAACCTTTATTTCTAACAGTGTACAGGTATGAGAAATGGAGATGTACATATGGCCTTAACATATAACATATGGCACAAGTGTTGCCATTAAATAACAGTACTACATTAATCCAACTCCTGACGAGGTCTCTCCCCCTGCAGAATCTGCTTCTGGAGATTGGATGGAACAAGTCTGAGTCTATGCAGAAGGATCTAGAGAGAACTCTGAACTGCTGTGACTTCTCCAACGTCAACTACAGTGAAACATGTGAAGCTGTAGGTGTAACCTCATTTTCCAAACTAGAAGAACCCTCTGCTATCTCATGTGCAGAGTTGTACTTGAAACATTTCAACTGTCTTTTTTCCTGTTTTTCAATTTGAGTTCAGAATGTTATTTTATGTAAAAACAAATGTGCTATTTGTAGAACATAGTGTTGCTGTCCTAACAAAACCTTTTATCTCTGAAATGATACCTTTATATGAGATAGAAAAATACATTTGTAACTTTAATGTTAAATGATTTTATAAGTCATTTTTATTGCCATTGGTCCATTCATCATGAAGTGTTTACAGCTGTAGTCACCATAGTACTTCAACATAATTTGCCTTTCTGAACTACAGGACTGTTTCAGAGAAACAAGCTGTGAACCATGCTCAGTCAAAATTCAGGCCTATGCTGATGACGCACTGCACTTTGTTGGAGGAATGAGTTTGTTCTTCAGTTTCACAGAGGTGGGTGAGGTCTCTTCTCAGTCAACATGCATGCATGACCCTTTAAACAAAGGATGTAAGTTTACCTGTCATTACTGAGGAAAAATAAGGCTACTCCTCAATCAAGTGTGATTTAGAGATAGAGATCTCTGGGCTGAACTCCTGGTCATCATACATCCAACTTTTTTGTGTTCTGTCTTTTTGCTTATTGTTTATTTCTTTTTATGTCATTTTAGATTCTGGGTGTTTGGCTGACGTACAGATACAGGAATCAAAAGGATCCTCGGTCAGGTGCCGGCCAATTCAGCAACTAGTTTCAAGAAATTTTTCCATTATACTTCCTTTAGTCTTATGTTGCACTTTTACATTCTATATCATCTGCTAACTGCATTAGATTGCATTATAAATTTAATCCATAATGACTGCAGGGAAAGGCATGAATGATGTTTTAACTGAAAAATACTTTTTCAAATGTCACATGATTAATTGTTATTGAATGTTCTTTCTTTACTTTATTGCAACAGCTGTGTCACAATTAAATAATGCTGTGATCATGATCCCATTTTCAAAAGTTGAAAGTACAGTATGAAATGACATAGTGATTGGCAATTTATGTGCCACTGACCTTAATGTTTCATCCATAATGATCTGAAAGATGTCTTGAGCCTTTCTCATACAGTCATACAAGAAAACAACATGTCTACACGTCTTTTATTTTGTTCCTCATTCTTTTGTGAGCTAAATCCACATAGAAATGGAAAATCAAGATGGGGCTTTTTTGTGTACGCAAAATCTTTAAAACCTTTTGTTTCTTAATTCCTTTGTGAGAATTGTAAGTGGAAACTACTCATTTCCTTCCCAACCTCCCACTTCACTGAATGTGGTTCATTAGTTCATAGACAGTCGCATACAAAAGGTTGAATACCCCTTGTGAAATGACATGTTTTGTTGACAAGTGAAAATAATGCATCCTCTATAGAGAACAAACTTAAAAATGGCATTTAAGTGCACAATTTCTATTTATTTGCTGCGTTTAATGTCTTGGAAAAAAAATAAAGCATAAAATATAAAATGTGTCATAACTTTTGCACAGGCCACATTTTATATTTCCTTTTTTTCCAATATGTTTAAGCAAATAAACAGTATCTGTGTATTAAATTGTGTGTGTGCAGAAGTGTGTTTTCTGTACAGGATGTGTTATCTTAGTTTCAGCTAGAAAAACAACAAAACGTGATTAGTCCAGGGGCACCTAAACTTTTGTATGCGACTATGAGCACAGAGCCACACAGTCACCGTTGACGTGAAGGCAGACCAGGATGTGAACAGGAACTGCTACGTCATTTGTTTGGATTCTGTTGTATCCATAGTCCTCCTTTCATACTCAGCCAGATAAACAGACATGGTTACTCAACATTTGCAGCACTGTTAGCTGTTTATTATGGAGGTGAAAGAGGAAACGAATATCTCATAAATACCTTCAGTAGACTGTTTTTTCTTCTAGTTGATTCAGGGGACATTTTAATAGGTACAGCTATTAGAATTAAGTACACCTGGCATCTAATACCTGTCTGATTATACAGGCCAGCTCTGATATCTGTACTGGTTCTGAGTTATGATACACATACATTGGCACTACCTTTGTTAGAAATGTGTTGACTCACTGCAGTATGCCTGCTATGCTGCACAAGTTGCATCAGGGGCGTAGCTAGAGCTTTTAGAATGGGGTGGCACACTGCAAGAAAAAAAAAATAGTGTTGCTGTATTAAAATGATGCAAAAGTGATGCACTGTTGTTTCTTCATACATAACTAAATCTGTCCATCATTTCCATTTTGAATAAAATATTGCTTCATTATACAAGTATTGCTGAAAGTAAACTGAAACTGTGTTGATGTAATGTATTTCAGTCATGCATGAGGAAGTGATGCATTTGAATCAAGTAAATTAAATGCATCACTTTTGTTCAGTGCACAACATTAACTTTAATAAAAGCATTACACATAAACAGGCCATAAAAGTTATTCACTGAGACTGCCCTCGCTAGAGGTTATACCTGGGTGTTATGATTAGAAGGCTAGACAGACAGCACTGTATGAAGAAAGCTATGCATGTGTTCAACTGTCAAAAGTAATCATGACTATAGCTAACTAATTTTTGGTAGTTAACTTATCTTACCATTGCACAGCCTACTTCATCATATAGCTCACAGAAGCTCTGCTGAAGGACCCAACACACATTTACTCACGTGTTTGCTTAGAAAATTAGCCAACCACAGCAATTCACTAACTATTAAATACAACAAATCACTTTATAAATGATGGGTAACTACCCTGATGGCTGATTTTCATAAAGTGTAATTTGTGCTCTATTGATGATGGCTGACTGATGATTGGGAGTTTACTTTCCATAACTAGGGTGCTAGAGTGACCCCTGGCCACCCCTCGGCTACACCTCTGAGTTGCGCCTGTCTTTAGTAGTAACTAGTTACATTTACTCAGGTAAATATACTCAAGTGAAATTTTGATGAGTTTGCACTTCTCTAAATATTTTAATGATAATAATTTTACCTAAACTCAGGTATATCTGTTAGAAAATGTATCTGAGCATAAGTACTCTTTACTCAGTTACAATCAATCATTAATCACTAATCACTAATTTCGTGTTTGTGTGTGATTTCATTTGCTTTTCAATTGGTCAGACCTCTGACTTTTAAGGTGTATCATTTTATTTTAGAGTATCAAAAAGAATATTGTCTAATAAACTTCAATCCCTATGCTGATAGATTTTGTATGTACTTAGAGGTTCTGCTTCAGTTCTGCTCAGTGCTTAAAATTATACAGTGTAAGATTTGGGGATTTGAAGCCCTCTCTGGTGGAAATGTGTAATTGCACACAATATGTGGAGGAATATTTTCTGCTTCGAAACGCTTCACAGAGTTTATTGAAAGAGGTTTCAGACAGAACTAAATCAAAACTTGGTGAAGGACGTGTCGTCCCAGGGTGTAAGTGAACAGCCTATCTACTGTTGTATAGTGTTTAATATATAATGTTATAGTATCTACCAGCATAGTACTATATTGTATGATGTATGATACTGTACAATGTAGAATAAAGTTGATTTTGTTTATTTGAGACTTAAACATCGAGCTAGACCTCCTTTTTAAAACCCGGGTACATAGTATGTAAAGATATGTGACATGGTTGGAAAAACGTCAGTGAAATCTGACCTGATATCACAACTTTTAAATTATTATTTCAGGCTTTATTGGGCGGCTTGGAGCAGACCAGGCACATCATGTTTTAATGTGTTTCTTTTTCTCCTGACCCAGTAATGCTACTTCTTTCCATTTTAACAAATAAATAATATAACTTTAATAATAATTTAATAATAATAATAATTTAATAATAATACCTTTGTACTTCAACTCAAGTTGTTTTTTTGGAAAATTATGTTTTAGAAGTAGCAGTACTTCAACTTTAGTACAAGTTTAGTCTTCTCTAGTCCCACCTCTGGTCTTCAGAGGAGGTATAACAGTGGAATCATAGTAGTGCAGAAAGCAGAAAAAGGCAGGAGTTGATCTGAAGTGTTGTTGAGGTTTGAAACGATATAAAATGTTGCTTTTATTTATCAAAAAAAAAAAAAATCTGCTTTGCATTGTTTTATTTATAGAATGTATTTAAGTGAATAAAATCAGTAAAATTGCTTGTGACCACATAAATGGACAAATTTTTTTTTTCAAAGTGTACCTAGCAGTTCCACCCACTGAATGAGTTCATACAAATTAATTCTTCTAATTGCGTAAGTGCAAAATTCTTAGCTCCTGTTTATCAATAACTGTTTTTTTTTTTTTGGTAATTCTTTAGCAGAATGTTTTTAATCAGTGTACATGTATTACAGTTGACAAAACAGTAATATGAGAATGAAAAAGTAAAGCAACATATCATACATTTCTTAAATATAAAGAACACCGTTTACTTTAATATTCACCTATAAATGTATCCCGAGAGTTCCGTTTGCTCCATGTACCCTAAACTGTACAATATTTTTGTCCAGTTTATTCTGAGTTTTTTACATTAGTAATTCATGAATTAACTCTTGCTATTGCAGATTTTCAGTACAATTCAAGAGAGCATAATTTGAATAATGGATAATTAATAACATAATTGAAAATGAAAACATTATACAGCACAAAATATATGGAGTATCAAAGTGCTCAAAAACACCCTTGAATCTTGAATTCTTTAAACTTTGACCCTTCTATCAAGGCCCATACCAGTCTGGAGACTGTTCAGATCATTAGTTTGAGTTGCCCATCATGTTGTGCCTGCATAAGCTAGTCTGTGGGTACATTTGAGGTTCTGCTGTCTGGCTTAAGGATGAAGGTCTGCTCAATAAATTGTAATCCTGATGTAATGGCATGTCTCTGAAGTATTCTATGATGGCCTTGCTAATTGAAGTTGCCATTAACTTGGCAAATATCACCAGCAACTCAACACGTTCTGTATTGTACTCAATATGTCTTTCGTGCTTTAGAATAGGAAGCACGTATACAGAACCCGCGCACTCACTACATCTTACAAAGCAACTTACACGGCAACTACACCCAGACATTTCAAATTTTATAGTGAGCACTGGACTTCACCTGTTAATAATTGCTGCCAAAGGTTAAATAAGCAACATGCTATTTCATTAAGATCCAACAAAAGATTTTTTATACTTAGGCCAGAGCTGTAACACAATTTTCTACAAATTCCAGACTTGAAGCTAACTGCACCCAAAACCACATTTTACTACAGTATATATACAGTATTACCAAATGCACTCTTAATGGTGTTGAACAGTTTTAACAGACTATTTACTATTAAGACTGAAATACATTCGCTCTCCATGTTCATCAAAAAATGTAAACTTTGAATGCAGTTCCCATCTAATCTACCTAAAAGTTATCTTCATACTTGGAGACTGTGTATAATAATTGTAGCCTGTACTGAAGCAGATTACATAGTACAGTCAAAGTGAAATGTATTGTAACCAGCAGAGGGCGCTGATTGATACAGAACGCATCTGGCTTTTCATAGTGTTTGTCATGACCTATGTCTATGTGTAATGTCTTTTTTGCAGACTGCCTGAGGCTGCCTTTATATGTATTTTGTGATTCATTGTGATTCAAATTGTCATCAAGAACTATAGCAGCTTTGCTCTTAGCATTATGATGAACTGTTTTTCATTTCTTTTTGCAGTAAAACCTGAAAATGCATTATTTAAGGTTTGTTTAATCTAAATGGATCATTATATTTTTTCAGTGTTGTTATTGTTCTAAGATCAGTTCTTAAGAATGTTATCAACTCATAACAGTGTTACACTGACATTGATGTCTTGCTATCTGAACAAGGCCGGGATCCTCCGATCCTACAAGGATGCCTTTGTACCAAAATCCCTTCAGCGTTCTATTGAAAGACTGTAAGATCTCTTTCTTGAAACTAAAGCATGAATGTCCTGTTATGAATACCTCAGAGAACCTGCCATCAATCACAAACCCTGAATTTTTCATGAAATCTTTGAGCAGTGCATCGAAAACATCCAAACCTTCATTTGTGTATGAGAGGAATATTATAGCTCTGTCTTTGTCCAGGACTGTTTTTATGTGCTCTCCCCTAATTCTGACTCCCTGAAGCCTCGTCTCTTCATTAATCGAGTGGATAAGAGGAAGCAGACAGATGCTTATCAATAAAGGAGTCAGCGGGCATCCCACTTTCAGTCCACGTGCTGGAGGATCAGATGTCACGCCTTCCGCCAACACCAAGGATCTCACCATAGATCTAAACCTGTCGGACAAGTTCAGTGTCTTTAACCTATGAAACAGGTATGGCCATTTAACTGCACCAGGATCCACTTTTACTGAGACAACTAGCACTGGAAGCTGGTCTGCTCTGATTTTAACAAAAGTATTAATGCAGTCTTGAACAGATAGTTGTGGTCTGATTTTCCCCTGATTTAGCAGGTACCCCATGACACTGTTCAACCTCTCTGCAATAATCAAGGCTAGAATATTATAGTCTACATTAAATATGAAGACTGGACTGTAGTGTTGGACATTACTGCTGTAGGTATGATCAGTGTTGTTGAAATTCAATGTTGTAGTTGAAAATGTGTCTGAAATGAAAGATTCATTAAATATACACTTAAAGATGCTCTGTTGGTCAAGGACTTGATTGAAGAACACTTGAAGAAGGCCAGTGATCTTACTTGCAAAGTGCTTATAGAATGACACTGGTAGCCCATCCGGTGTCATATGTTCAGAGTTATGTAAGGAAAGTATTGCTGAAAGAATTTCTTTCTTTGAAACTGGCTCAGTTAGTGTTGCATTCAGTGTTAACTTGATGTCTTCGAACATTTTTGTTTCATGTAAATAATCCAAATATTCCTCAAGATTTGAAGCACCACTCAAGCTATCTGGTGAATGTAGGAGCTGAACGTGGTTCACCGAACTTAACAAACCTGCCAGATCGGAAGAAAACAGAAAAGTTAATTTATTAAACATGGCTTTATGATTAAGTAAAACAGAAGAGCAAATATGACCTACATTCCTGTTCCATTGGTTGCTCCTTAGAAACCTGAGACATCTGAATCCCAGCCAAGTCATCTCCACTTTTATTTAAAGCCAATGTCTCACAAGTGACCCTGACTTTCACTGCTGGCCACAAATCTTCTTTTTTGACCTGTATTCCCCCTGAGATGTTTTTGATTATGTTTGAAAGCCTCTCCATGATGTCCTCATCCTTGAAGAGCCCAGAACGAAACTGCCACCTATGGTCAGTTTGGATTTGAACAGATATTGGAGCGTGATCGGAAATACAGCCTTCCCTTTCTGAGTACTCAGGTCTTCCATGAATTTGGCAAGCAGTCACTCTTTTCAGAATTCTGACTGGTAGAAAAAAGTAATCCAGTCTTGATTTTCCTTTCCCATCAAAAAATGTGAAGCTTTTTTTCTCAGGATAAAGCCACCTCCAGACATCCACCAGACTAAAGGTGTCCAGCAAACTCACAAGACCTTTGAAACGGTCACTGTGTCCTCTGTTTCTACTGTTTGATGTTTTGTCAAACTCAGCATCCATAACGGTGTTAAAATCCCCTCCAATTATAAAGTAAGGGGATTCAGAGGCTGGGATGAGAAACTCTCTGAACTTGTTGAAATCGATCTTTTCGTCTGTTGGGTTATACACATTAACAAATACAAACTCCTGCTCCTGAATTCTGCAACTGATAATCATGTATCTTCCCTTTTCATCCCCGACAACTCTGAGTCCTTCACACACCAAGCCCTTTCTGAACAGTATGGCCACTCCACGACAGTTTCTTTTAAATACTGTATACACGGCCCAGTCATAGTCATGCTCTAGACTTTGAATTTGAATACTTCCTGAAGGAGAGTTAGCACTAGGACCAATGTGAGTTTCCTGAAGAAAGACCACATCAGCCTGTAGAACGTTTAAATGATTAAAGACGCTTGATTTTTTCTGGCTAAATCCGTTGACGTTCCATGAGAGGACTGTGAGTATCTGCTTCTTCTTAGAACCACCATTCATGATGAGAATCTGTTAGTTTTCTTGGTCAGCTCTAATGTTTTTGTAACATACCGAAAAGTCACAATTATGAAGACAGTTTCACACAGACATCCATCTCAAATAAGCCCAGTAATACAACCAACTACAATTTTACCCCTTGATAGAAAAACATGCCCACTTCAGATGAAAGATCCAGAATGCTGCAAAGGTAAAGAGGAACAGTTAATGTCTGCGTCACATTGGCCTTTTCAATAGAATAAATTGCATGCAATTCACATTTAACTCACATTCTTAAAAGTAAAGTTGCCAGAAAAGCTTATAAAAGCTTATACCCTTACAAAAGGGTACTAACAACCTAACAACTAAAATCTATTTCATAAACAGATTACGGCATTATGTGGAATTAAATCCTTTTAACTAACATTTACAACATCTAACAGTCTAAAAGTCTGAGATCACTGGTGGAAATGCTTCTGTTTTATATTCCTTTTTAATTTAAAACAATGTTTTTCATTACAAATGATATTATCAGCATAACAAGTTGAGTGAAAAGTAGAACTATGAATATTAGCATGAACATGAGAACTTAAGAACAGGAACAAGCTGGCATGGATTCCAGACATTTGTGCAAAAGTTTCTGATGAGTAGATAAATCCACCTGAGAGTCATTTGAACACAAGCTTCAGCGGAAGAGATAGGACTAAAAAAAACTGACCATTTTGTACAAAGGCCTTAACATTGTCAGTTTCACAGATTTTCTATCATACTACTACTACTACTATTTATTTGTAGTCATATTACTACCACTACTACTACTACTATTAATAATAATAAGTAGAGTTCTTTTAGGTAAATCAAGCTACTTTATTTAAACAGTACAATTATACAGGACTCATATTATGATAGCAGTGGTGTTTGAGAATCTATGCTATGAAATCGCCAGCCAGTGCTGAAAAGGAGCAGTCGTTGATACACCTGTGTTTTTCTATTGTTTCGTTCGATAATTTATTTCATAACTCTGACACAGTCTGTCTGCTGCTGTCATGAACGAAGTCATTAAGACAGATTTAGGTAGTTCTAGTTACTATAACAAACTGTTACAGCATAGTAAACTATCCATCAGACTCTAAGCATCCAAGCTAATAGAATGTGTTTTAATGAAACATTTTTGCTATCTTCCATTATTGTTGGGAGGGTACAAGGGCGACATTTAATATTGTATAGTGCCACCTGCTGGTTTTCTTGAGTGACCCATCTCAAAATATGTATTGAATGGTCTTAAGAGATGTCCTTTAAGAGATGTCTTTAGTATGGAAACTAATATATCTCTAAAAACATCTCAGTGTGCTAGTCATAGATGTATCAAGATGTCTCAATGGCTGAAACATAACAACATGTATGTTTCAGAAACTTCTCTTTTATGTTCAAGATCCACCTAATGGAGGGACATCCATACCTGACCTCTGTAGAAGCAGCCAATTGCACCAAATCTGGTGTGACAAACAGGAGCGCGTGTTGAATGCCGAGGAAGGCCACACTCTATCTGCAGGCATATAGGACCTAGTGACACTACTTTTCCTCATTTGGCATTAGTTTCTTGTGACCTAGCTTTTCTGCTCTCAGCACACCCATGGCATTAGAGTACCTGCAGTTGCAAGCCTGCCCAGCCACCTGTGGTACCTATATAGCAGCCATAGATTCCTAACCTTTCTATGCTGTCTGCATGGCTCTAAAACACGCTACTCTCAATCAGCAAGTTGCAGCTAATGTCTCTCTTTACCTAAAAACAACTTTGTTGAAAGTTTAATGCAGCTGCTATCCAAGCAGCCTCTGAGAAGCGCAACTCTGATGGCGAAAATGGAGACGATGCAGAAGCTCTGGATGCCCTCTAGAACTTACTTATGCTCAGTTAGCCTGGCCAAGATCCCCTCAAACATATTATATGAGTTGTACAGCTCTAGGATGACGTGTTTAATGTGTTTGGGGGCCCGGACCCCATTCCAAGCCCTGGGCATGGGAAACACTCTATTGAACAGTCAATAGCTAGATATTTCAACCAATCACAAGGAGATAAGTTACTACGCAGCTCATTCCTAATCAGGACTTCTTATTTGTGCAAAAGCACTGTCACCTCTTTGAACCCTTAGAGAATGTCAGCCTAAAGCTGCTCTCTCATAGGGGCCCTACAAGGGTAGGGCGAGACTTCCGTCAACACTGGACAAATGCTCCTGTCTGTTAAGCCAGACTTGGTGTAATTGGATGCTTCTGCAGAGGTCAGGTTAGTTCAGCTTTTAGTTCAGTTTAGTTCAGCTCACAAAGACTCTTTCTGTTTTCTTTCCTTTTATGTGTGAATGTAAGCTAAGCAAGCTTCTGTGAAGCTGCCTGTGCTAATTGGGATGCAAACACAGGGGTGGTAGAAAAGGCTCCTTCCTGCTGTCTGTACTTTGGTTTGTAGTTTCCTGGAAGAGGTCACTCTTCAAGATCTTATCAACCACAGTTGACAGTTGCCATCTTGATTCTCCTTTTCCATTAAACGTTTTGGGAGAGGGTGCTCCCCAAAAACAGCAAAATCTTGTCATCTTTTGGGTTATAGGTAAGGGCAAAAATAAAATCTTGCATGACGTAACAATGAAACTTCTCTTTTTGCCACTGGTACATGCAAAGCCTTCACAGCCTAAAACCTTCATGAAAAGTGCAGCCATCCCGCAGCAGTTTGTTTTGAAAACTTTTAATACCCCTATGGTGGAACTTTCTGAGACAACCTCTTTCCCCTGTCCCTCCTGTCTCTATAGTTTGTGTATATTTAATATATTTCAGTTTCAGTATTTTCTTGTATTTTTATTTTTACTTTGTTTACTTTCTGTAGAGTGATCACCTGAGCCTCACCACAAACATTTCAATGCATGAATGCTCTGACATGTTGTGCAAATGACAAATAAACTTGAAACTCTCAGACAACCTGGTTGTTTCTTAAAAGAAAACTACACTCATGTATTTACATAACTGAGCACAACAAATCTTTTATGGCAGAAAGACAATAAACTACATCACTGTTTTCTGTCCCTTAAATAACAAGAGAAGCCCTTTATGGGGAAAACTTTTCATGTTCCATGACACTAGTACTGCCAAAATTTGTCAGCCTATCCATAACTATGGCATGTACACACTTTGCCCGCTTTACATGATTTAAAACCTTTTATTTCATTCCTTTAAGATGTTCCTTAATTGTCGTTCATTCTCGCTAACAGATGAAGGGAACCTCCTTAAATGGAATTAATACTGTGCAAAACTGTAAACTTTGCTAAATGCTAAGGATAGTTTTCAGTGATGTTAGAAAGAAATGCTCAAATCAAATTCAAGAAGTTCATAAGCACAACAAAATCTGCTATATAAGTACTCCTGTTTTCAAAACTTGAAGTATAAATCCAAATAAGATTTGCTCAAAGCCATGTTAAGTTACAAGTGGAAAAAAAAACAACTGATGTCTGTGGGATAAAGAGGAGCAATGATAATAATAATATTAATAAAAATAATATAAAATAATAATAATAATAATAATAATAATAATAATAACAATAAATAAATCATTACTTACATTGAGAACATGAGAACCCACATGACAGTCCATGAAAGCACCATACGAGAGTGTACATCAGAGCATCTAAACAACACCAAGGATCTCACCATAGATCTAAACCTGTCGGACAAGTTCAGTGTCTTTAACCTATGAAACAGGTATGGCCATTTAACTGCACCAGGATCCACTTTTACTGAGACAACTAGCACTGGAAGCTGGTCTGCTCTGATTTTAACAAAAGTATTAATGCAGTCTTGAACAGATAGTTGTGGTCTGATTTTCCCCTGATTTAGCAGGTACCCCATGACACTGTTCAACCTCTCTGCAATAATCAAGGCTAGAATCATTACTTACATTGAGAACATGAGAACCCACATGACAGTCCATGAAAGCACCATACGAGAGTGTACATCAGAGCATCTGATGTAACCAGTAAAGTGAACATGCAAATATTGATTTACATTTGCAGCTTCCTCCTCCCATGAAGCACCAGCTTCAAATTGTAAGGAAAAAAAACATTCCTGCCACCCCTATATATAATGAAGCCACTCCCACCAACCTTCTACAAGAGTTTTGTCCATGTGTGAAGACACCTCCCTTATTATCTTTTTCTCTTTTTTTCTTTCTTTCTCGTTAACAACACAGGAGTACTTCCCTTTTTAGTTCTATGAAGATGAAGTTGTGGTTTCAGAAGCTGCGAGCCTAAGCATGTCACGGAAGCCAACAAGGAACATGCAGGAACAGGAACTTTCGCTTTGGTTAAGTGGGTGTCAAATGATGTTGAGGGCCCTGAGAATGGATAGAGAAAAAGAAACAGAAAGAGAAAAGAAGAGCAGGATAAATGATGATGCAGAAGAAAAGGTGATGATCTGTGGAGGTGGTCTTAAGAGGTGTGTAGAAAGATTGCACGACTGACATCTACTATCCAGTAGATTGCGTGACTTAAGTGCGGGCGATCTGGCATTATAAGGCATTATATTTGTGTTTCTAACACAGCTGTAAGAACAAAATCCTTTCTCATGATAACTTTACAGGAGAAGGAAAAAATTGGGCCTCATTCACCAACATCTTCCAAACTTTTTTCTTAAATGTGTTCTTGTGAAAAGTCCTAAGAAAAAGTCTCTGTCAGATTCATTACATGTTGTTAAACCACAGAATTGTTCACACCTTCGTGCTCTTGAGTGTGTGTAGATTCTGTTCTTACCTAAGAACAAATCCCAAATAAGAAAACAATGGTGAATGGCAGAATCTTCATGAAAACTGTGTAAGTGGGTTTTTAGATGAAATCTCTTAAGAACAGTTGGTGAATGAGACACACTGTCTTTTAATTTGGTAATTATGAACAAAAAAAAAAAATGTATTCAAGTGGGTCAAGTCAGGCATCGCAAAGCAGCTTTACAGAAAAATCCTGGTCCAAGCCCCCACGAGCAAGCCAATGGCATCAGAATCAAGGAGAAACTCCCTAAGAATGACTGAGAGGTCTTACAAGGTTTTTCTTCACCACCATCCCCATCTTCAATGGGGGAAAGTGTTACTGATCAGGCAGGATGTCTTTAGCCTTACCACTTTGAGCCACTGATTTAAGCCACCAAAAAGTTAGCATCAGAAAATGATCAGCAGCGACTGAGAGAGGAGTCAGAATGGTAGAAAAGTTCCTAAAAGCTAGCTTCTAATTATCTGATATGTAAGATAAACATTCAGTAAAAAAGTCATGATTTCTTAAACATATTGAATTTTGAACAAATTAAGTGGAAATCTATTAAACATTGCACAGGTTTCATTATTTTGACATCAAACTATAACAAACAGACTTCCTGTGGGCACTGAACATAGCTCTCAGCTTTTATGTACATTTGCATAGGGAGGTGGCCGAGATATGTTAAAAGATAATGCAGAAAAAAAGGGAACCCAACCTTTGCAACATAAGCTAGCTGGCTTACATTAGCCGTTCTCTAGCATTATCAGCATCACAATCAAAGGAGGCATTTAGGTCAGTATGTGTGTGTGGTCATCCTCTCCTGCGCAGTGATGCAATTTAGAGAGGGGTTTCCTGAGGATCCACAGGATTTCTTCCCCCACTTGATCTTTGATATATTTGACAAAGAGGTAATTTTATAACAACTCATCTAAAGCATGTCCACATCATGAATTTCCATGAAAAAAAAAAAAATTTCAAATTAGTCCATGTAACCATGCATAACTTTTTTTAATGTATGAATAGTTAAAGTTTGGCCTTTTGGGATCTAGTTTGACTGCTTACAGAGTGAATGAGCTGAAATATTAACTGCATAATAATAATAACTACAACAACAAAAATATAGTTCCTAATAAGGCAAAAAAAAAAAAAATTAGGCTCATAGAGCAAAAAGTTATTTGTAGCACTGTTCTGAAAATTTGCACTGTTTCATGAGTACAAACTAATGTGGCATTCAGTCATTAGAATGTATACATAACTACACTGTGAGACACACAGTAAAACAGTGCTTTTAAATCCTGCTCCTGGAGTCCCTCTGCCCTGAACAGTTTCAACAGTTCCCTGTAGCAATATGTCTATTTCACCCAATCAACTGATTATCAAGCACTCGGTGAGCTGGATCAGGTATGTTGAAGCAGCAAAGAGGTCCCCAGAAGCAGGATTAATAAAGAGTGCAGTAAAACATTCTAGCGTGTAGCACTGAGATTTACCTCATTTGCCTTTTTGTAGAAGGGCTGCGCCACAGCCTCCAGGCTACATAATAATGGGAGGCTCTTGCTGTACAGTTTTAGGCAAAGTAATCAGATGCTGCAAAAATAAGAACATATGGGAAGATGAATGAACAGCCTACTGTTGTAGGATTTAGGATGATTATAGTTTTGTGTGTTTATGCACATTATGCTTTAAAAATAAAAAGTAGTAAAACCTTACCTGACTACTTTTATTTGGAATAAAAGTTGCTCCCTGATGCAGCCAGGCTTGAGGGGAGGAGGAGGCTCTTACTGGTGCAGGCTGGCATAAGGACAGGTGGAGGGTCTTGCTGGCTGACATAAGGACAGGTGGAGGCTCTGGAGGGAAAACAGCAGGATACTATACAATTTGAGGAAAGAATCAGGTGATAAAGATTAGAACAGATGCTTTTCATTTCAATGAACAGCCTACTGCCACACAGTGGCCAGAAAGGACAATTATATATTAAGTATCTATTAAATATATTTCTTACCTTGGTTGTGCTTCATTTGTTGTTCCGAAATTCGGACAACACTTACTCTGGAAATGTATCATCATGACCTTTTGCCGCATAAACAATCGGGAACATCAAGAATGCAGACTACCGGTAATATCAAGACATCCCAGTGACACAGTTGAGCTATATCTTCTGTATTCTAATGTATTAGATCAATCAAACCATTGAGTGAAATCTGAGTGAAATACTATTATGTATTGTCTTATTTCCTGGGCACGAGCTTCATTTACTCTACCTTGCATTTTATTAACATTGTGACCGTTACTTATATTAGTCAAGATGTCCATTACACTGGCAATCCTGTTGGTGGTACAGCTTTTAGCCCTACGACAGAGAGCCTCAGACGAGCTTTATTAGCTTGTTGGCATATTCAAACAGTAAACTTAACTGCTTATGGCTAGAGAACTGGATCATGTCTTCTTCCAGATTTTTACCCATACCAGATTTAGGGACTTTTACTCCGATGTAACAGATATCTAGCTAATACATTTTTTCCACTTAATTTAACAGTTTAACTGTCAATAAGCAACAATAAACAATAATGAACAATTTAAACACTAATTATTCCATGAAAATCAATTTAATCTAAAATCTACTTCTGAATTTACATTTATATTATCAAGATAGTACAACGACTTAACATATGTTTTAAAACAGAAATCACAATACAAAAAGAGACAATTTGATTTTCTTATTTTACTTTTATCTTCAGATAGAAGCATCACAAACATACTACCACCTCAAACATCAAGCACCTGTAACAAGAATGGGCATCAAACACCAGTGTCTTCCTAAGTTTTTTCTTAAATTTGTTCTGAGAAAATTCCTAAGAGAAAGTCTACGTCAGATTCATGATGTGTTTTTAAAACCGCAGAATTGTTTGCACCTTTGTTCTAATAATGATGGATCCCATTGTCCTCCTAAGCTCCTAAGCTCTGGAATACTCTGCCCTTAGAAATTAGATTTGCTGAGTCTAAGGAGATATTTAAAAAAAGGCTTGAGACATATCTGCATGCCTTAGCCTTTGAGGCAGGACATAACTGATGTTCCCTGTTTGTGTTGTTTGTGGATGAAACTGTGCTGCCTTTGGTTTTGTTATTTGTTTTATATTGCTTTATTATTTTATTTACCCTATCTTACTGTTGTGAAGCACTTTGGGGCCTGACTCAGAAAAGTGCTACATAATTAAAATGTTTATATGTTTGTCCTCATAAATTGAAAGCGCATGCCCGTTGTTCCTAATTAGCATATGTAACCCCATAAAACCCCATAAAAGGACATGGAACTGCAGTGTCATACAGCTAAGCACAGACCAAAGATAAGGGAGAAGTGAAGAATACCAAAACAAAAAATCTAAAGAAGATGGATCACCGGACTCTAAATGTAGAAAAAAAACTTCTGTAGTTCTAAAGAGGAAGTACTGCTGCAGGAAGAGAACAGCAAACGATATGTAATATTTTGTATTGTCAGCACTGGATATAAAATAACACAAAAAAGATGCTTGGGATTACTTGTTCAGGGAACACTGTATTGGGAAAAGGGTGCAGAACTGATGAGATAAAAAAAAAAGTGGTTTGGCCTCAAATCTGAGGCCAAATAGGAATACTGCCAAACACAGAAGAGAGACGCTAACCACTGAATGGGGAAAGGAGGCTTGTTTAGAGTTATCTGAGCTGGACAAGGACATAAGGGCCATTATTGGAGAGACAGCACTGTCAGGTGTACCATCAGCTAAGCATTTGGACACAGACCTCAGCCTTGTGTCAGTGGTTTCATGTCCTAGATCTCCTATCTCAGAATCAGAAGGTAAGCTGTTTTTTTGGAATTAATACAATTTGATGATACTTCATCTAAAAGCTGTAGGTGTAAACCATAGAGCAAGTCTGTTGTCCGGTCCCAAGCGTGTGTCAGGACACGTGTCTTCTTGTTGTGATGGCTCAGGGGGAAGTGGTACACCACATTTCGTGGCAATGTTGTGCAACATACAGCAGGCAATGATTATCCCACAAAACTAAAATGAGGATGCCCAAAGATTACTTGCAAAAAGTAATGACAGATTTTGGTTGAGGTAGTCTATAGGCCCTCTAATGTTTTTGCAAGAATAAAACAATTTCTCAGCTGTTCTATCTATACACAACTTCACTGGTTTGCCACCTGAAAGAACTAGAACAAGGGTGCTCAATCCTGGTCCTGGAGATTTCAGATCCATCAAACCTGACTGTGATATACAGAACAGAAATTACATGTCATTCTCTGTTCAGAATGCCATTACTCTGTCTTTACATAGAAAATAGTCATTTGCTGCTATATTAATGTTTAAAATGTTGTATATCCCACCATTAAGGTTGGACACAGCTCTTCCACAATCAACCGGCCTGTGGCAGCATGGTCAGATGCTACCTGTGAGGCGGAGGGCTCGTTGGTAAGCACGTGCACCTGTGTATAATTGTCTTTCGCTCTACTAATATGCTCTTTTTTCTATAGTAGGCAGAGCCGGCAGAGAAAAACCCAAGGTCTGAAGACGAATGCAGCTTAAATGACCTCAGGGGAACAGACTCTGTTCTGAAGAGCTACATGTTCCAGCCTAGTGTTCTATTGTTTTTGTTTCTTTGTGAGTGATATAAAGAAGTATCTCTGCCCTCTGATACTGCCCCCACCATACTCCTTCCAGCTCCACCCACCAGGGTATCACAACATCAGAACATTTCTTAATGGAATCTGAAACAGCAAATTGCCTTTCCCGAACTGTTGGAATGGAAGTACAATCCCTGAAAAACCCGACAGTTTATTTGCTGCCATTGCTTCCAGATGCCGCTTGGAATTCTGTAGTTTTTCAACCAAGGACAGACAATTTTCACATGCTGCAGTCTTCAGCACTCAGTGGTACTGTTCTGTGAGCGTGTGTGGTCTACAGCTTCGTAGCCGAGTTGTTGCTATCCCTAGACGTTTCCATTTCGGAATAACAGCATTTACAGTTGACCAGGGCAGCACAAGCAGGGCTGAAATTTGGCAAACTTTTAAGACCACAACTTACGACAGTGCCATGTTGAAAGTCACTGAGCTTTTCATTAGGACCTAATGCCAGTTCTAATGCCAGTTTCTCTATGGAGATGGTATGACTGTGGTTGATTTTAAGTGCCTGATGGGACAAATTAGAAGGGTGTTCACATACTTTGTCATGTAGCGTAGCTGTACAATAATGCATTCAGTTCCATTCTATTTAATCCAAATAAACACTGAACTGGATTAAACTCTTTATACGCTTGTATTTTAGAGACACTGAACACATATCTTCCTATGCAAGGCCACTTCTACGGCTCTTCATTTCCACTGCAGTCTGTTTAGAGTCTGAGATTATAATAAGCTGATCATAGTTCACCATAATCACCATGATAACAATGACCAGCTTTGCTGTGGTTGTTCAGAGGCTGATGTTGGCTTAGTGTGTCCAACATGTAAATTACTTCAATTGTGTTAATGAAGTAGCAGCCAACTGTTTCTATATGTCTATACATTGTGCTATTAGGTATAGATTGAACTATAGTGCAGAGCTAATTACAGATTTGTTATACAATCAATGATTAGATGTACTTGCAAATTATGGTCTTGAGGACTACAGGGCAAGGATTAATAATGCTCTTATTGGCATAAGAAAAATTGCATCTAGAATCTTTTACACTTTCATTTTACAAATTTCGTTTTCTGTAGTGTTGTGTTAACTGGTTAAACAAACAAAACAACAAAAAAAAATTGTGCTTGTTTTTTGCAAAGCTGTTTAATTTTAGACATTTTACATTCATGATGCCAAACCGAAGTTCTCTCTTAATTATACAGTGGGCTGAAGAGTAATAAAAGACCTTGAAAGAAAAATACTTTAACAATAATGTAACTTTTGTAATAATTTAAATGATTTCCCTAGCATTACTTTTAAACAATTGATGAAATTAAGGAGGAGGCTATACTAAAATATCAATTTAATTTAATAATGTATATTCTCATTAAATATTAATTGAAATTGTTTATACACATCATGAAGTGCATTAGTAGCTGAGGATCACACATAGCGAGTGAACTGGGAATCCTTCAGATCATGTACAATCATAAGAAAAGCAAGTATTTTCAATAAAGCTTTGTGCCATGATGGATTACTTGACATACACTTGTCATGACTTGCTTTGAAAGTTACAGATTTTTATTTAGAATGTGAGTGTTACAGGTCTGACACTTCCTTTTATTTCCACTGTTAGGATGAAGCCCTGTTTCTGAGTTTAGCTGTGCGTCCTTTTCAACAACAGAAGCAAGATGGATATAAGGGTGCCATTGGACAGTCCACAATGCAATTACATATGATAATTTAATTATAGGGAATATGGTAATCCTCAAGACAGCATAAAATCATCTGATGAATTGATTTTGTTTTAATTGAAAGAATAAAAAAAAAAAACACACAAACAGGAATTAGGGCTAAGGTGCAAAAAGTATGCAGACTAAGAGTCTGGTGAGAAGGCTCTGTGTGTGTTGGGGAACCTTCTAGAATTGTAGTCAGGATCCTCTTTTACTCGTTTCTTTATATCATTTTTCACCTGAGAAAAGAAACAAGAAATTATTAGGGAGAGCAGCATGTTTCAGACACTCACTCAAACACTTAATATTGTATAACTGGTTCATTAAGGCCTTAAGAATACTTTTAGCAGTAACAAGAATATACAGATACACAGAAATGAAAGAGTTAGAAAACTTTCATGTCCAAAAACTAAATGCCATAGAGTATATTTAGATTGGTTTAAAATGATGAGATTTTGTGTAGTGATAACTTCAATGAACATCTATTTTGATAACAAGTAAGTGTCATACTTTAATTTGACTGCAAATAAATATGTTCTATTGTATTGATAAAAATCAGTAGTTATAGGTAACCATAAGACTACATTTCATACGATAAAGTAAGTTATAAACACGTTTTAGCCATTTTTTTCTGAATGCGTGAATGCTCGGGCTCCATCATTATGGCAAGATAATTACAAGCAGTTTTCCAGGCTAAATGGTAGAGCCTTTACAGTTACCAGTGTTGTGGCATTGTTAATAAAATTATTTAATTAAAGCCTACTGGGACTAAGTAAGACTGCGCTGCTCCCTTGGCTCATACCAGCTTGCCCTCTGCCGCACACTGCACCATGCTGCACGTGGGATCTGAATTTAGTCTCTCTTTAAGTTTGAAAATAGATCAACAACACAGGAGTTATTACTAGAAATGCATAGATACTGATACTGGTACCGGGTATTGGCCCTAAATGGTGCTCATTTACCCATACTCAATCTTGTAAAAATGCACCAATACTAACATCCGATACCACCTGATATCACGTGATGTAAGCCTAGTGTACGCTACCATGCTAATACAAACAAATGGCTCAAGCTGGCAGTGAACAAGGGTCTGCTCGCCCAGTGCAGCGTTACTGACTCCATGACAGTCAGACCTTAAGCCATCAGTCACCTTAAACATTCCTCCTGGAAAACACTGTGTGATTTTCACACTTTTTTAAATACACACAAATACAGCCACTACCCCAGTACGGGTGGAGGCACATAAGCTAGCCAAATAGAGGCAAAAAAGTCGAGATTTGCTCCCAAAGTCCGTCTGCCAACTTTACCCCATGTTTGAATGAATGGAATAGCAAGATACGTGATACACGATGGTCTATTCAAACGTACAGTGAAAGTCATCATAGAAAATTGGGCTTCATTCACAACTGTTCCTAAGAAGAATTTTTTTCTTAAAACCCACTTAGGCAGTTTAAGATGAATCTGACCTTCACCAATGTTCTCTTATTTGTTCTTAGGTAAGAACAGAACCTACACACACACACACACACACACACACACACACACACACACACACACACTCAAGAGCACAAGGGACAAACAATTCTACAGGTTAAAAACGTCATGAATCTGACAGCCTTTTTTTAGGACCTTTCTCAAGGACAAACCCAAGATAAAAACTTAGGAAGATATTGTTATTGTGAATGACACCAATTGTTTCTAAAATTACAGTGTATGTCTAGCTTTAGAGGACATTCAGGTACAGATCAACTAGCCAAAAAGACTTCAAGAACACAAAAATTGAGCTCCTTGGATGCAATTCCTCCTTTCACTGTACTACAAAGACTGCTGTTGACAGAGAAAAACATACTTTACTTATAGCTGTACAAAAGCGCTATTCAGACATGGAATTAAACCCATTCTTCTCCACTGCAAAGCTACTTCATCCGAGGTAAGTTAGCAGAGCTAGCTAATGTACATCATTTAAAATCAGATAAATTAGAATGATTTAACTGCTAAAGTACTTTGCACTCATTTACACAAATAACTACTTAATTCTAAGTAGGTTACTAAGTATGGTATCAGACTCGGTATTGGGAAGTACTACAACCACATACTGGTATCGATGGATGTCTATTACTACTATGTTATTACAGTATAACCTATATTATTGTAGGGGAAACGCTGATGGTATGAATTTCAAGAATGTGTGCAGGCAGCAAAAGGTGTAACTCAGTCTAGAAAATGTACTGACTTTCTACAAAAAAAGGCAGCACTCCATAGTACTGTGAAAGAATTTGTTTTAATTTGATGATTAGTAGTTCTTGCTGTATGCAGTACCTGTTGTGTGTACGCTTCTTGAAGTTCAGGTCTCTCAAGGTCACCCTGTAAGGCACTGGAAGATGTGACAGGTGTGACACCAACTGACCTTGCAGCTTGGCTCACTGCCTCAGACAGAGTGAGTCTGGGGCCTTCACTCTGTGCTGTCTGTCTCACACACACACACACACACACACAATTCACAGTGTTTGATATAGTAAAACCACAGAGGGTGTTTTTTAACAGATTTGGAGACAATATTCAACTGACCACGACAAGTTACTCATCGACAAGACAGACAAAAATAGATAGAAGTCTTTTCCAAAATAAATAAATAAATAATAAATTAATAAATAACACAGAATGGTAAACACTAACCTAAAAGAGACAATATCCAAGCATGGCTAGTAGTGTATCCTTAACAAAAAAAAGGGCTGTAACTTCAAACTAAAGTACTTTCTTTCGTTAGGTGCAGTGCCACCTGCCTATGTTTAAGGCAATATAAATGGGGAGGAGGAAAAACACTCTTGTTACCTTTCTGCGCTTGGCAGGCATCCCTTGCAAATATGCATCAGACAGAGGAGGTTGAGCCTTCATCTTCCTCTGGCTAAGCAGATCTTGCCTGATGATGGGAACCCAATCCTGCAAGGGGTAAACAAAAACAATATTTTAACCCTGTATTTCTCTTGTAATTTTTTCCTCACAAACATGACAATTTTACTAAAGTTATCTCATAAACAAACTTGAAGCTGTAGTTGACAACTGCAAGCTACTGTACAAAGAGAATAAAAATAAAGTAGGCAGCATAAATAAAACGTCTAAAGACAGGCTTACAGGAGGTAAAGCAGCTGCCCAGGCCTCAGCTTCCCCTGCAGGACCCTCTCCGCCCACTGCACCTCCTGTCTCATCAGCCAAGCCCCCAACTGCCCCTGCTTCCTGAGAGGTAGCCATGGCCTCCTCTGCCGTGGTAGCTGGAGTAGGGGAGAGTGTATCATCCATCTGAAAATATGAAAGAGCTTAGATGTAAAAGTAGCTGAGATAGTATATTAGTCGTAATGTTTATCACTAATACGTGCAAATAAATAATCCAAAAAATTACAGATGAATAAGCAAACAAAGACTTAACAAGATTAGCATTAATCATTCATCTACATTATACAGGAATATATATGTACCTCCACAGACTGAAGTTCTGACTCATGTGCTGGGGCCTCTCTTGCCTCTTCATTCTGACATGAAATTACATTGATATATTTAGTTCAAAACATACAAGCCTTGTTATAATTTATCTGATCAGTCTTTCAACAATTCTGCTGTTTTTATTTTTCATGTTGAAGTACAAGTCAGTACAAGTGAAGTATAAGATTATGCAAAACCCTCCCTTGTAGCTAGTTTTTGCAAGTCAAATGCACCATATACACATTTACATGGTAGTCGCACATCCTGTAGGGAGAGTCCTACATTCACCCTAAAAGTCTGCATCAGAAGAAGCCCATAAATGCACACGTTTGCTGGAATGTCTACTAAAATGGCAGGTGAAGTATTTTTCAAAAGATGTTGTTATTTTGTATTATATTATTTGATATGTAATTTTAAATATTTAAAGCATATAAACTAAAAGCAGAATAGAAAGTAGGTCAAAGCTGCAGCAGATTGTGCTTATCTGTCTTTTTCGGGATGTTTTTTTTTTGTTTTGTTTTTTTTTTAAATCGCCCTGGCCTATTTCTAACTAGAAAATATTGTGATAATTATTTTTCAATATCACCCGGGCCTACTAAATACAACTACAGAAGAGTCTGTAAACATTACATTTAGGTTTTTCGCAGGTGCTCTTATTCAAAGTTTTAAAACAGTGTAGAAAGTAGCGTAATAAATTACCCAAAAGTATTTTTATCAGTATGACCGCTTTCATGTCTGAACAAGGAAAAAAAATCTCTGCTCTCATCAAGCCAAGAAACATTCAAAAGAGATGTCTTTTACAAATGATCATTTTAACATATTTGTGCATATGTGTCTAGTTTAAAAAGTCAACAGGACTTTGTGAAAGTAATAACAGTGCTGTTGAAAGGTGTAGATCATCTAAAGTGTCTTTTTGCTAATAAAAACACTATATATAATTAGATAAATACAAATAAACATTAACATATTAAAAAGTAGTACAAATTTCTTGCATTCATAAAAGCAGTTGATAGAGCTGGTAAGAAAAACACAGGGTTGGTTCCAGAATTGTTCTCAATGTCCCAAGCAATTACATGGATTTGTTAAATTCCACCATTAGCACACCTGATTTAATTTAATGAAAGACTGACTGACCAAACTAGGTACTGGATGATAACTACAATTAATACCAGGCTGCCACAAGTAGAGGCTTGGAAATGGTTAAGTCAGCAGTGCACAACTCCAGTCCTGCAGGGGCCAGTGTCCAGTACAGTTTGGAAGTTTCCCTACTCAAAAACACACACTAAACCTGGCAATTAACAGGCAAGTTTAATCAGGTGTGTGTGAGTGGAGAAAATTCACCAAGCTGTGCTGGACACTGGCCCTCCAGCAGAGTTGTACATTCCTAGGTTGAATGAACAAAACTGACATACATTAAAATACTACTTTTTGTATTAATGTTATTTATATTTACTCTAATACTTGTGTTTCTTTTCTGAGCAAATATACACTGATTGTCAAATTAAATTTATTTTTAGATTTCTTCTCTGGTGTCTAAAACCTTCGCACAGAACTATATACACTATTATACCTGTCATATATCCAGATATCCATGTATGCACCAATCTCATAATTCAAGTCTTACCCGAGCATGGACAACATAATGGAGGATTTGTTCCTCTGTAACTGGGATGTGCTCCAGAATGACCTGCAGTCGCATAGTCATCATACTGGTCAACCAGTTGACCACACTTGGGTTCACCTCTGCCGACATGGTCCTCTGAAGAAAAAGAGTTAACAGAAGAGGGGTGATTACACCTTGACTTTAAAAGAAAAGAAATACAGTGTGTGAGAGAGATTTCACAGGTTTAGTACGGACTATGCGGTTGTTGATGACTGCAGTAAGGGCACTCTGCTCTCCTCTCAGGCAGTAAAGATTAAGAGCCAAACACTCAAACAGAGCACGGTTACACAACTGCAGCAAGCGTGGTCCAAACGTATGGTCTACAAAGAAAGAGAAATGTAACCATCACAGTACACACATTGCACTATGCATCCATGAATACATACTTGGCAAGTATCCCTGATAAGAGATTCTTATTACTCTCTGTTACCTAAACTGACAACTCTTCAGAGTGATGTGGCTAAAAATGCTGTGTACTGTGGAAGACTATTTAGAGGTCTATAGAGGACAATGACCCTGCAGATTTCTTTTATGCAGCTGTTAAAAAAAGCCTGTAATATATATTTTTAAAACATATGAGTAAGGAAATGCGAAATTTACATTTCAGTGTTTTTACATTTGAATCTTCAAAGCAAATCAGCAAATATGGCTTAAAGTACAGTGGTCAGCCTAAAAAGAAACATTAAATGTTCCTGGACACACCTGTGCAGTGTAGAATGTGTGTGGCGATGGCTGTAAGTTGCTGTCTTAGAAAAGATCGGTTTGTCTGAGTGATGTCAATCTCTTCCCGAACTGTAACTGTTGACTGAGTAGGTCATAACAGACAGACAGACTAAGATTAAAAATAATGTACAACACACAATAAATATTCCACACAATAGACTAAAAATAACAGAGAAAATGACTTGATCTACTTACAAAACTCTCTGTGATATATTCATCAAGTTCTCCAATCAGGTCATTAGCAGCTGCCTTTTTTAGTAAAATAGGAGAAAAAGATCAACAGAAAAGGAGAGAGTAAGGACTGAATTAAAATCTTCCCAGAAATGATTATGATACTGTTCTGAAGATATGTGTGTGGATTAAAAAGTTGTGAGACATACTGTGATGTTGTCCTCTGTGGGCTCTCGACCCTGCAGATAGTGTTCTGAGAAGAACTGGGACAGCTGGGGCTGAATGCGGCTCAGTGGCTGTGCCTGACCATGAAGCAGCAGCACCATGTCCACCATGGAGAAATTTTGACAGACAAGAGTCAACAGGTCCCCGAAGAAACCTATGTACAAAAAAAGAGATCACTCAGTTTCTAACTAGGTGACTTAAAATTAGAATAGAATTGAACCAAACAGAAAGATGCAGGAAACAAGAGAGTTAACATACAATGCGGTTGTGTGATCTGTATGATCATAATACGGAATGTCCTATCAAATGACCCTCTACATCAGAAAGACAAATTTAATGCAATTAATTAGGACATTTAATGCTGGTGCTCTTTCCTCATTCTATAAATGTAGCATAAAATCCAATTACCAATAACCAAGTCACCATTCTATAGCATCTCTGTCATAAGACAACTTTGTATCATTGAAATGGTAACTTTACAAGAGAAGGAATTAGCTTAACGTAGCTACATTAGCTTAGCTACATCCGCTAATGTAACATAAAAGTTTGCTTTTCCAAGTTTATATTTTATGACAAAAGGACCAATCACCACAACATAAAAGTAAACTTCCATTTTCAAATGATGAAAAAAAAAGAAAAAAAACCCTGACATGTGTTATGTAATTTAGATCAAATCTCACCCATTGCCTCTCCAGTGCTGGGGGTGAAAATGTTGCTGGTCTGGGAGAGTCTCTGGATAAATTGAGCAATGCTCTCTGTATTATTCTGAGGGGCACCTAAGGAGCCCATCATGGTGGAGAGGACGCCTTGTACTATCCCAGTGAAGAGCTCAGTGTTCATGACTTCTTCAGCTGTGCCCGCCTCAGGGTCTGATTGAGGTTCATTAGTCGGTGGAGTAGAGGAGGCAGCTGCTGGTTGGTCTGTGGACGGCTGAAAGTGGGCTTGCTGAGAGGCCTGATGAAAGAGGTGTACAATTACTACCTCAAACAAGCCAGACTGCATTATCTAACCATTCACCACTACATGACCTCATTACAACATTACGGTTAGGTATATAGCTCAGCCTATTTTAAGCTACTTTGTACATTAGCAAAATCAATAAAGAAACAAAAACCAGCAAACAGGCTAATAAGCAAATGTCTTCAGTAGTGAGCTCCTTTCTGACCTGTATGAAGTCAGTGACTCCCTGGATGAAGGCAGGTATTCCTGGCATGGCCATAGATACAGAGGGACTCGCTCCAGAGGCCTGACCATTAGCAGCAATCCCTCCCCCCAGGAGAGAGCCAAGAATCTGGTCCAAGTTACCCCCAAGAGGAGCCCCTTGAGGAGGGGTAGGGGCAGCATCAGGCTGGGGAGCAGAGCTCGCAGTGGTGCTGGTGGAGTGTGTAGGTCCTGAGGCACTGGTGGCAGCAGCAGATGTGGGTGTGAAGGTTGAGGAGGAAGAGGAGGATGAAGAAGACGATGAAGTAGAGAATGAGAACGTATAAGAGGAGGGGGAGGACGAGGAGGAGGTGGTGGTGGTGGTGGTAGCGGCTTGGCTGGCTGTAAAATTAAAAAGAGGGAATGTTTAGGTTCATCACAATAAGGGTGGCTCTTTCGCATTTCTTCCTAAAAACGGAACTGTACATTTGGCAAACATACTCATCTGGCCAGATGCTCCTGTCAAGAGTTGCCCCACCAGACCACTAATCATTTGGTTAAGAGCAGCCGGATTCATGGGTGTAGCCTTTCACACAAACATATAAAAATATACATAGCTGAAGTATCAGTCCGTGAGTAGTTCTAACTTCCTAATATGTTTAACATACATGAGGGTTAAAGTACTAACCGGGCTTGGCTGTTGACCCATTGTTGGGGGAACAGCAGCTCTCAGATTTATGGTGGTTCCTCTAGTGGTAAAGGAAGGGTTTGCCATGCGGTGGGCGAAAGAAGGCAGTGTGAATACTACCCTAGCCTGATGAGGGTTAGGGGGCATTGGAGGGGCAGCAGGACCTGTACTAGCAGAGCCTGTACCAGGGCTAGGGGTCTGTTGTCCCTGTTGTCCAGCAGAGGCAGCATTTGCCATGGCCATGGCTTGCTGGGTAACTTGATTTACAATGGCTTGCATGAACTCTGGAGGTAGACCAGGTATTTGAACCGTAGGAGATGCACCTAGATGAGAAAAACACAATGATGCACAATCCAAATGACATCACTATTGCAATATTGAGTCAAAGGAAGACCATAGAACTGCTTTGTTGTTTGTAAACAAACCCTCAATGTGGAGGTTATACTAGCTTATGATACAGTATGCTTTTCAGGACCAATGACGCACCTGAGAGTAAGAGTTTTTAAGGAAGAAAGTATATTAAAGCTAATAAAAATAATTAACCCTCACCAGGCTGTCCAGTACCAGCAGCATTCTGTTGTCCAGTAGCTGTGCTTTGAGTATTGCTTCCAGCATCTGAAATGCATTAAGAGATGCACATCTAAACATTAACATGTTCCTTAACAAGTGCTCACACGCGTGGATGTGCAAGCGTGAGCACACACGCATGCACATGCACACACACGAACCCACACACACAAAAACCCACCATCAATGTTAATCTGCATCATGACCACTGGCTCCATGGTTTGATGGCTTATTCGTATCACCCTGGGCCCTGGCTGTCCCATCTGCTGATTGGCCATACCTGGCTGTGGGGCGGGGGTTTGTCCTTGCCCTTGCTGCTCTGACTGGCCAGTAGGTTGAGGCTGACTCTCAGCTGTTGGTCTGCCATTGGCTGACATTGTCACTGTGGTTCCCAGATTAACCTGTAAGAACATATAATCAAACAATGATTATGCAGTGTTATATATTTTTAAATTATTAAATTAATTCTAAATAAAGAAAGAAATAAAGAAAGAAAAGAAAATCACAGCTTTCAAGCTTTACCAGACAATCTTTCCATTTACAACCAAATCACATTATTTAATAGACAGTTACAACATTGTTAAACATTGGAAAATAATTAAACATGAATTTTGAACCTCTTCTCTTGTAATGTGACATTTATAATCTTTTGAACCTGGAAATCTCTGACAACCTGACATGACCTGTATGCCAGGAGACAAGTGAGATCCTAGAGACCAGTCACTTCCAAAGCGCAATGGAAATTAAAAATATGCATTCCACTTGAAACTGTTGTAAGTTCTCCATTTTTGTATGAATTGTGCATACTGAAATGAGCACATTCAAAATGAACAAATTCAATCACAAAGATGCAGAAATTCAAAAAGTCAAGCACTGTGTGTCAATGAAGAGTAACTTCGGTAAAAACAGACCTACATATTCCATCAATAATTGCATTAAAATGGAAAGTAGTGAATGCGTCCTGTTTATAAAATTACTGCCTGAATCTACAAGCAATTCATTACCTGTACGGGCATGTGATGCACTCCACCTGGTGCCAGAACAGAGGAAGTGTAGTGAGACATGGGCCGGATCACATGCAAGTGACGGGGAGGAGCACTTGAGAGGTTACAGCGCAAATCACTCAGGGCAACCAGAGCATTCCCTAAGAGTCGAAGGGCCTCCCCAACCAGGTTTAAAACACGCTGATCCTCCTCTCTCTCCTGTGTCTGAAGGGAAAACATTTTTCCCCAATTACTTAAGGAAATGAGTAAGACAGTCATGGGGTACAGACCAAGAATACCAACATATCAGGAGAAGAACTAAAATAATTAACTGATGTTTGTACAGTATAGCACTAAACCCAGAAAAGGATGAATTGATGAATATTGCAAAAAGACAAAAAAATAAATAAATAAATTGTACGCTAAATTTACCTCATACAACTTTTTCAAAAAAACACCACATACAGTGGGTGTTAAAGAGGAATTAAGTTCTCCATAATGTAACGTTATTGTCAGCATATTTATTCAGAGTGATTCTAGAGAAACTCTAGAATTGTTCACAGTTCACAAAGTCAGAACTGTTCACAGTGACGGTGAAAAATTTTAATGCCTCTAAAAGCTAAATTCTGAAATCACAGAAAGTTATAACTTGAAAAGATTATGAAAATGCTGCCTGGTGCCCTATGATAGTTTTGACATGAGCTTTTAGGTTACAACGTATTTTTTTTTAAATCCATTTATAGCAGAGAGGTACATGCAGGGCACTATAAGACAAAATTGTACCCAAACAAAATGTATTCTTTTCAGATTTACCACTATTTTATCATCAACATTCCATATAAAACTCAAGACATGTATTCACTGGTTATTCTGGATAAAAAATAAAATGGCCATTTCTGTGTTGGAGACATTGTGATCCTCCTATCACCACCTCTGAAAAGATATCCGAGTCAACAAGTTTCTCTACAATGTATTCACTTCAAACCACTCTGAACAACTTTATTTACATCTCAATGAATGAACTATGCAGAAAATTTGAAAAATGGGCTGAGTTTTCCTTCAACTGTGTTACTACATAAAAAACACTTAAACCAGTACTACTTCACTTTGCAACCGGAGAATACATCTGTGTACTGCTTACGTTATTGTTGTAGTCAGCAGTAGTAGCTGCCTCTAGGATGGCGTGGGCTCTTTGGATGAAAGGCTGCAGCCTCTCTTCTACTCTCCTCAGCTCTGCTAACATCTCTACCAGCTCCGCAGGGCTGGGGTGACTGGTGGAAATACAGGATACATAAATACCATTATTTAATAAACAGGTTTGTATTGGGTTAAAAACTTTAATTGAATTAACAAGTTTCACAGAAAAAGCAGACCAAGAGTTTCTTTTCTATCTTTTTTTTTTTAAACTGTGAGCAGAGTCTTAATTCTAGACTAGGTGTAACTAAGATCTGAAATCTCAATCTCAGGGTTTTTGTTTTGGTTCTCCATCCCACAGATTTTATATCTGATGGGCATATAACAGCATGGTCTGCTAGTCATGAATCCAAAACATACAATGGCATCAGTACAGGATACATAACATTTAAACCATAGATAAAAAAAAAAAAATCTTCACAGCTTCCAAATAGTATTGCTCATAAAACAAAGCACATTAATGTCATCATAGACTGGGATCTTAAAGTGAGCCTTTATTTAAATATTTATGTGGTTACCTTTGATGAGGAGAAAACACATCCTACTGTAGCAGCATCAGTACTGAATCTTACATTTTAAAAGCACATTACATTTTTTTAGTGCAACAACAGTAACCCTGTAGGCTTTAAAGTAACCCATTCTGAGCTTCTATTGAGTTTCACACTAACTTATTAGCAACCATAGTTTTCCAAAGCTCCTGTAACATAACTAAAGAGGTCTGACCATAAAAGAAACACTAAACACAGGTCACAGGAATCACTAACATAAAGACCATTGTTGGTCACTGTTTTTCAGTGTTGCCCTGTCTGCCCATATATACTGTTCTTTTTCTGGCTTGATCATTATTTTTGCAAGACTGTTAAAGTTCATTCTGAAACAAAGTAAACTGATAAGGTCATTTGTTACATGAAAAGTGTAACTCTGGTCTACTGTCTAGGGGAAAAAAAAATTGTGCCTAAAAACATTTTTTGGACAATTAAGAATTAGCAATCTTATACACTAAGACCTATCAGTCTTATACCTAAAAGACATTCAAATAACTTCTAAAAACTGCGCACTTCAGCCGAAGTTTGCGCTAAAACTGCAGCTTAAGTAATTATAGTGTCTGGTCTTACCTGGGACCTGAAGGAGGAGGAGGTGTGCCCTCAGTCTGAGTGGCAGATGATGATGATGGAGGGGAGCTAGATGGAGGGGAGCTAGATGGAGGGGGGGAGGTGTCCATGGGCTGAACAGAGGGAGAAGGTGTAGATGTGGATGAAGAAGGAGGAGGTGCAGAATCCTCATGAGGTGAGGAGCCATCAGCAGGCTGACCCTATAAAAGAGAGAGATGGTGGGTGAGTTTGGGCATGTGATGTCAAGAGAGCCATCTTTCTGCAACAAGCCTCTTTCAAAAAAAACCCTGGACAGCCCATAAATTGTCTACAAATAATCAGATACAATAAAGTACAAAATATAAACTTTTGCTGCATCCATTAAAGGCAATATGATATTTTATTTCAGAACTTCTCAATACCTCAAGTCTCTGAATCAGGGCAATGGTGTCCCTGAGCAAATTCTCAGCCAAAAGCAGCCGCAGTCTGGGCTCACTCTGTAGGGACTGGTCTAAATCAACATGTACATTTGCCGAGCCACTGGTCTAGAGAAAGATACACCATTCATAATGTTACATGTAATAATATGAACAAAGATAGTCCATGGCTTATGGTTTTTAACGGCTGGAACACACTCCTACCCCAGTACTGGTGCCAACTCGTGCATTCCTGACACCCTCTCCCAGACCCGTCATCATTTGCTGGATAGACATCTGAGGAATTATATATTCAAGAGCCATTAAAATGTCAACAGTAAAGACATTGCATTTTAATTATGTCTGATTAGATAAGCAGAAACCATCAGGAGGTCTCTGAGCAACCTATGGATCTATGGACATATTTTGGTTGTATAAGGACAGTGATTTCTAGTGGGCGTAGTATGATGTGCAAAAACTCTGGCATATATATTATCAAATATTTAATTTGCTGCATGTCAATTCATAAGTCACAAACAGTGAAACTAACACCAAGGCTCATATTTATCAAGCATCTCAGAATAAGCACACTGATCTAAGGTCAGGACTCATCAGTCTATATGGTCCCATTCAGTGCTATGTAATATGCAAAAAATTACCCCAGATCAGCACCTGTTATACTCTAAGATATTTGATAAATATGGGCCTTCATATTTGTACATGTCCAACAAGGTGGATAACAATGCAAATCATCATGCCAACTGATATTATGACCTTATTCAATCAAAAATATTGTAGATACTCTTTATCAAAGAAGGCAATGTCCACACCTGAATTTGCTGGGGATCCATGATGTTAACTGGGAGATTAAGGGTACCAAGCATAACATAGCTGTTGGCATTACGGTCATGCGTAGGTCCATGAGGCATCCCCTGAGAGGTTGGGGAGGAGTTTGTGTTTCCTGCCTGTGGGCCACCTGAGGTCCCAGCTACTCCACCTGAGCCTGATCCTGGCTGGGTTGTCTGAGGTGGGGCTCGCTCCACCAAGTGGATGACTTTACCGTTCACATCTGCCAGCACAAGAGCAGAAATGAAAAAGAATTCAGGAAAATGAGGAAGAAAAACAGAACCAAAAAAAAGTCATGTACAAAAGGGAAACAGAAAGTCTAATTTTATATGAATATGTTTATATATGAAACAGATGTCCTGACAAAGGTTTAGTGCATGTTATTAATGCATGTCTGAGAAAGCTGCTTAAAGGGTTTGGTATATCCATAACATTGGCTGAAAACAAGATACAAGTCCAGTATTAACGGTACATACAGATTTTACCAAACTTTTTTTTTTGCAGAATCCATTTTTTTCCCACTGCTATATTTTGGGAGTTACAAAGAGTTTAAACATTTTGTTATATAATCTAATCAATCATTTCTTATTGAATTTGTACCATACACTTTTGTCCTTAAAAGGCAACATCTCAAAAAAACCACAAGAAAAAAAAAAACAAGATGCACTGAGATCTTGTTGCTATCTTTAACACTCCAACTTTAGGCTATGCCTCAAAGAGTGAGTAACAGCTCATTTTGTACAACCAGTTCTAAAACATGCTTTCGATGCAAATATCAAACCCAACTCACTGTATTCTGTCAGAGTTTTCTCATCTTGGAGCACTCTTCCTTGGTAGATTAGTCTCTGTTTGTCAACAGGTATTCCAACTGATGGTGATATATGCTCTTTGAACTCTTTGACGGTCATCTAATGAGTTATATGAGAAGGTGATTTTAGTAAATTACAAGGGGGCCAAGCTTGGAAAATACATGGAGACTTCAAAGAAGCCACAAGAACATGAAATACACATCCAAATCAAATGCTAAAACAAATAAAGCACAACTATGACAACAGACGGTTAAAGAACTGACTCACCTGTGCTCTTACTGTGTAACTTCTGCTCTGGGAGTCCAGAGTTTTGACAGTTACTTCTATGTCACTATTTCCTTGCTCCTCCATGGTAGCCTGTAAGATATTATGTAGCTATATGAACCACATATAAACCGTTGTTAGTGGCATAAACAGATAATGAACATGCATGAAGGAAACTGCTTCCTTGAGAAGTACGATCTAGTTCGCTAGCTAAGGTTACAACTTCCCACTTCTCTGAAAGTGAAACCACGCATGCATACTGACACATTTCCAGATGCTTCGCGACGTTTTCACCTACTAGTCACTCAGCTGCACTCTTGGATGTCAGTCACGCACTTAGCCGGGCACTGATTATCTTCTAAAAAGCTGGTTAGGTTAGCCAGCAAACCCTTGTGTATGTACAGTTTAAGCCAGTGTTCCACAACCCTGGTCCTGGAGGCCCACTGTCCTACACATGTTCGTGCTTTTCATGCTTTGACACAGCTACTTTAACTCAATAATGGGCTGTTAATGAGCTGGTTAGTTTGATCAGGTGTGTTGGGAGTAGGTAAAACACTAAAAAGTGCAGTGTGGAGGACCTCCAGGAACATTCATGAGAAACAGTGGTTTAAGCCAGCGAGCCCCAGTGTCTATTTTAGCCATCTAAGTTAATCTCACCGCATAAGCAACGTAAGCAGTAACGCTGAGTTAGTGCTAACCCACAACAATTCCACCCTACAATTCCGTATAGCTAGCTAGCTAAGCTACATGGCGCAATTACTGAAACACAGTATGGGCTGAAGTGCCTCCTACATGCCATAACAACAATAACGTTGCCATTACTTAAATGGCCTCGGGGTTCTTTAGCTTAAGCTAACTTAGCTAGCCTCGTTTTCGAAACAACGCATGAAAACAAACATGAGGCTAGCAAAGAAGCGCTTGGCTAGCATGGTTAGCAAACAGATTCCTACCTTCACACTATATTCCTGTTTATATTAGTTGTGTCGCCTCTGCTCTTTAACTAATCAAATTTCTTCAGTAACATCTGGTACAACCGCAATGTTAGCCACCAGACTGCAACCGGCTAACGTTAGCTACGTTACCGAGCTAACATAGAAAACGCCATACAGCCGTTCTGCACTCTCGGCTCCTGACGTTTCTACTGGAGACACGCCCATTTCCTGGAACCCTCACTTCTCTGTTTGCCGGCTAAACATTGAGTCCGTTTTTGCGAGAAGGTATTTCTACACTTATTGTCAGTTTAATCAGGTTCATCTACGTGTAGGTGCACTTTGTAAGTATACAGTTACTGACTGTACCCTATCTGTTGCTATAACTTACTCTCAGTATGCACAGTTTGCCAACCACCCTCTATCCCATCCATCAGAGGACCACCATAGGACCACTGACCAGATATTATAGGTTATGGTTTGTGGACCATTTTCTCCTCGACAGTAACGTAATACCGAGAGGTGACCGAGTAGTTGCCTCAATTAATTCCTAATACGTAAATTTGTTGTTAGTTTGGTGAAATACTCATTTCTTTGGCTCACTTGTGGGCCACATCCTTGGGTTTCTTCTGGCCCAGTATATGGCTGGGTCCTCCCCACGATCTTGCCCACACTCTATAGAGTGAATTGAAGTAATGGATTTGGCCCAAATCTGGTCCAACTACATTGCTGGTCCACAACATTCACTCCAGAATTGGCCCACAAGTATAGAAACGAGGCAAAACTGTAGCTGAAGCTATCTGACATCTGGCCCTGTTCTGGCCCGCATGGCTAATATCTGGCCAGTAGTCAACCAACAAACACATAGGAATGCTAGAATTGGCCCAAAACTGTGTCTGCTATCTGGGTGTTGTTCCAAAAAATAAATAAATAAAAATACCCAAAAACCTAGGTACAATATCAGGTCAAAAAGTATCAAGTCGAAAAACAATTACTGAGTAGAACTGCAGTGGAACCTTTTAGTACATTCAGCATCTATCAGCATCTTCTCTTCATAAGATCTAAATGCTGAAGTCACAAAGCAGCATAGATTTTGTTATCAACATGTCATAATGAAATAAAACATAAAAAAGAAATTAGAGACCAAATATATCTAAACATGACTAAAATCTACTTTTTACTTCATTTCATTTTCTTTCAAAAATACGTATAAGTTGTATACAATACAAATAATATCAAGATGACTCAGGAAAGTACAAATCTATCAAAAATTACACAAGTACAAGCAACTGAGTATATGGAAGTAGTTACTACTGACCACTGGTAATACCTGCATGATAAAGTACAGTAAAACATTTTTAGTATCTTACCTTATAAGTCAGCTTGCTGCAATTACACTTTGTGTTCATTTAACTTCAAATAAGTTAGCTGAACATAAGACAGATTTTTCTTCTGGTAGCTTACTAATAGACATTCAACAAACCCAAAATTTGATTGCTGCAAAGGTATTGCATTACTTTTTTTTAAGTTAAGAAACCAGAAGTGTTTTACAGTCAACAAAATATCCAGCCAACAGTGGTATTTTGGTTAGAAATGAGCACTGGTAAGTGCTCTAAGACAAATTGATTATTGAAAAAAATGATGACCCATAACTAACCATACACTTATGGTTAGTTACCATAACATAACTAACCATACACTTATCAAGAATAGGCCTATCAACAATTTGGCCAGTCAGTGAGTAAAAAGCAGTAGAAATGGTTGTGCATGAAAATCTCAGAATGGTTATTTGGCAGACACTAGAAATGGCATGGCGAGCAGCAACTATCATGATACTTTCAGATTCACCACATTTTTGGCTATTCCAACATTTAGTAGAATTCTGATGCTAGAAACGCTGGTCTATCTGATTTATATACACACTGCAGCCATGTGAGACATAACCTGTAGAAATGTGCGATTTTTTGTGAACATAGTCAGTGTGCTTGGTAAATTGACGACTCAATGTGAAAACCTCTGTGAGAGTATGTCACCTAGGTCAAGTAACGCCAAGCAGTATAACAAACAGCACAACGTACAGGATCTCAAAACATCTGCAGTATGCAGGTCTCCACAGTTTTAAAACAGTTCCTGAAATCCACAAATGCTTTTGCATTGATCTATATCCATTTTCTAAAAGACAAAGCCTTCTAATTCAGCATCATTTTGCAGCAGCCTGGATGACAGTTCTCCACCTGGTCTGATAATGAATGTGACAGGATTAAACTGAAGTACCATGCCGAATCTCTGATTATGGTGATCCCCAACACTCGGTGATGTAATTGCACCTTGAAAATGTGCCAGTAATCCCAGGATTAGCATCATTAACATGCTCAGAGCGAAGTAAACCTCATTTCCATATCACAGAGTGCTGTTTCATAAGTGACATTTCTGCTGGGTTGGGCAGAAGAACCTGAGAGAAGCAAGAGGGTTTGCTTTATGGCTATGTGCAGTCTCAATGCGCCATTAGGTTCCGATCACTGCCAGGAGCTGAGTGATGATATTAGTGCAATACAATCGGAAAATGTCAACACATTTTTTTAGGTTTAACACATTTAAGGTAACTTATTTTTAGATAATGTGAATAGTGACAGGCAATACTGACTTTAGCAGTGTTGTGAATTATGGACAGAGTAGAGTTCTTATGAACATGGTAAATTCAAGCGAACTAATGTGAAAAATGGGTTTTTATCCGTAGGATTGCAGAGCGGCTCTAAAAGCATCTAGAAGGCCATCTAAACTAAATGTAGTTCTTTGAGGGCTCTGTAGTAAAGGTAGTGGTCATATATACAACCATGACAACTCAAAGAAATATTTGAATAAATGGTTCTTCATAATGCCTTCCGCCCAGTGACCACAGGGATAGGCTCTAGCACCCCCCATGACCTAGAAGGATAAGCGGTTTGGAAGATGTGTGTGTGTGTGTTTTTGTGTGTGGTTCTCCACAATTTATCATACATGTTTTTTTTAACCCCTTTTCACACCATAAAATGGAATCTCTAGCTGTTTTGGAGGAGGTCCCTCAGCTGAACTAAAATTATTATTAATTAATACTTAACTAATGATTAATTATAATTAATATTAATGATCAACTTTTCTTTAAACTTTGATGTAATATATAGTCATCGAGCACTTTATTAGAAACACCTTCTTGTTTTACACTCATTGTCCATTTTATCAGCTCCACTCATAATATAGATGCACTTTGTAGTTCTACAGTTACAGACTGTGGTCCATCTGTTTCTCTGCATACTTTGTTAGCCCCCTTTTACCCTGTTCTTCAGTGGTCAGGACACCCACAGGGCCACCTCAGAGCAGGTATCATTTAGGTGGTGGATCATTCTCAGCACTGCAGTGACCCTGACGTGGTGGTGGTGTGTTAGTGTGTGTTGCGCTGGTACGAGTAGATCAGACACAGCAGTGCTGCTGAAGTTTTTAAACACTGTCCGCTCATTGTCCACTATATTAGACACTCCTACCTTGTTGGTCCACTTTGTAGATGTAAAGTCAGAGACAGTAGCTCATCTGTTGCTGCTCAGTTTGTTTTTGTCATCCTCTAGTCCTTCATCAGTGGTCACAGAGCGCTGCCCCTTTGAGACTGCTGGCTGGATATCTCTAGTTGGTGGATTCTCAGTCCAGCAGAGACACTGAGGTGTGAAGAACAGCTAACAAAGTATGCAGAGGAACAGATGGACTACAGTCTGTCAATAAAGAACTACAAAGTGCACTTATATGTCGGAGTGGAGCTGATAAAATGGACAATGAGTGTAAAACAAGGAGGTGTTCCTAACTGCCAGTGAGTCTATATTTCGATGGAAATGTGTCTGATTTACAAACCCAGAAACTAACTGGATTCAGCAAGCAAGTAAATATTTATGTGTTTTTATTGTGTTTAAATATCAAGAAAGCTGCAGTTGTCTGTTTTGTCTCGGCACGGCCGTTTTTGTGGAGAGGTGCGAATTGTTTTACTGCAAGAAGTTCACACCCCTCCCCTATTGCACCCTCATTGCTCACTAGCAGCTCAACACATTCACAACATTTCACACATGGAGAGCCAACGGTGTCGTACTGACACCGATAACACTGATAACAGTATTATTTAAAAAAATATATATTTTATTTGATTATATTGATTAAAAATATCGATTTCCATCCTATTAGCGGGTCTGCATAACGAGGCTACAGAACCTTTCAAAATGTTTCTATATAGCACCAAAAAGGGTTTTGCTATTATTGCAAGTTATCTAACCTTTTTTTTTTAGTTCTGTACAGGACACTTTTTGCAAAGAGTAAAAATGCACCCTCTTTTTGGGCATAAAGGAAGCATAAAATGTTCTGATGGTCCACTCAGCCAATTTTCTAATCAGCTACCACACATAACATACAGATTTACAGTACTCTTATACTGAGCAATACAGACTACTTTGTCCTTAGAATTGTCCCAATATTAAAATTGAAAGACTCTTAAGGGACAGACTGAATGTGTATGTGTGCTATTGTTGTTGTTTGCTCTTAGGTAAGGGACATGTGGAAGCTGTTGAGGGCTCTGTGGGACATACTGTTGACCATGCTAGAGCTGCAGGACGTCCTGTGTGTGAGTGGCTGCCTCCTGGAGTAGAGCAGCCCATCAGGAGAGAGAGCCTGCTATGGCAACAACTTCACCTACATCGTCCGCCAGTTCTCCAGCCAGCAGGTACACAGTTAACAAGCCTCTACAAGCCAGGCACTTTCACTCTCTATATGCCTGCATGCTCTATGTTAATGAGCTAGATGGTGTGGGATTTGTTTGTTTATGCTGGAAAATATTTTGCAGCGCTGTACGCTGTCCTACAAAGGTGAAGAGTAGTAACCACGGCAACAGCAAAACTGAGAAGGCCAGCTTCGAAGTTCTGTTGTTGTCCATGTTACTATAATTTTCACACTGTTTTCTTCAAAATGGAGCAACCTTGGGGATGAAACCAGTCCTGTTTTTGATGTAAATGGCAGATGTTGTACTGTGCCTTTGTACCATATGGCTGTTCCATACCTTGACCAGTTTCTTATGATTTTGAAAATGCTTTAGTATAATTTAGTATTTACTTTTTAAAACGTTTAAACATAAATAATCAAGTAATATTATCTTACTACACTGGCAGATAATTTTATTTTCCTCCTGCATTAT